AGCACAGCTAGACGCGCGGAACATTAGTACCGGCGCGCGAGTTTCAAAAATGGCTAATCGTTTTCTCGTCAGGGAATTCCCGCCAGGATAACCACGCACTCTGGCCAATGGGCACGCATTACAGTGAAGGGCATCTCCGTCTCTCTCGCACCCTCACCAGACGCCCCACGAGTGCGAGAGAGACAGCAGTCCGGCTCCATCTCCAGCAGTGTCTCGGACACGCGGGACGCGACGCGTTCGCCGCACGGTCAAGGACTCGGTCAAGGACTCGGTCAAGGGCGAGAGCAACGCGGTCAGTGCAAAACGCGCCAAGCACGCAAACAAGAGCTCGGTGCTGAGGGGACGCGAGGCTAACGCCAAACATTTTTTTAATTTTTCAAAAAATTTGCTCAACGGCTTTTTTTTTTTTTAATTTTTACGTGGCATGCATACGGATGAGCCAGGACCACTCGACAGCACCGGCTTGGAAGCAGGACCCACTGGCGTCACTTCATCCTGCAGAGGCTGCGAGCAAGCGTCAACGCGAGTCTTGAGACGAGGGAGCACCCTCCTCGCCTCTCCTTCCAGTGGAGTGGAGTTCGGACTCCGGCTGACGTGCACGGACGGCCACTTCCGGCGCTTGCAGCGGACTCATTCCGAGAGGCGTCCGTCTCTCTCGCACTCACGGGGCGTCCCGTACAGGTGCGAGAGAGACAGAGCGACGACAGCGTCTCACGCCATGCCGCCGCCACGCGTGCAGCGCAGGCCAGCATTTAACCGAGCCACGACAATGCCCGTCAAACAAACCAAAGTCACCCATGCCGCCCGTTTCGGTTATTTTCGGATTGTTTTTGACCGTCTGTGCAGGGCCATTCCGCCACTCCGCACGCCAAATTTAGTAATAAATAAAAAGCCCACACGCGACCCAGCCGGCCCAGCGCACACGCCACTGCAAGCGAGACACTCTGGGAAACTTCATCTTTTTCCAGTGGTAATACGATTTTATCCGGTAAATGCTACGACACCGAATACATATGCAGAGGCCGGCTGGGCGGACGGAGACAAGCGCTACGCTGCGGAGCTATCACTACTACACTGTAACCCGCGGCTCGAGCTTGGGTAACCACACCTTAAAATTGAGAGCTGTGAACGGAAAAATCTGCGTCTGGAAACTTTGTTTTCCTGTGTGCGCAGAATCGTCCATGCAACCAGCCCGTGCGCACGAAGTCGGCGGCGGCGCTGTAAAAAACGGAAACTGCCACCACACTGCCACCAACGGCCAGGGCCTCGGCCAGGGCGCTCGTCAGTCAGGGCCGGCGGCTGGGTCAGCAGGGCACCGCCACTGCCACAGCGGCCACAGGGCACTACGCTGTAAGCACGCACCGCGGCACGCGCAAGAGATTCGCGCTGCTGCCAAGCCTCGCCAGCGCCGTCGTCTCTCTCTCGCGGGACCTTCCGCGGGCGTGCGAGAGAGACAGAGCGACGAAGCACAGACTGCCCGCGGCGATGACCGTCGGAATCCGCCCCCAAGGCTGCCGCCAACCACCCGGCCGGCCCGAGCCACCCGAAGCCACCCCGCCATGCCGCCCGTCCCAGACCACGACCTGCCGATGACCCACACCGTCCTGCACCCAAGCTTCTTTCCAATAAATCCAAAACAACTTTTCGCGAGGGGACGAGTGAGGCACAAGCACGGCAAAAAGTGAGCAAGTATCTTGACCCCGGACAAGGGAAACACTTCCAAAACAAACCCGGGCATCGAGGTGGATGCCCCGGCGGCGGCCGAGCAAAAACCACAACCCGTTTTCGCGTCGGGTTGGACCACACCTGCCCTGCCGGTGGCACCAGTCCGCGGTCACTCCGTGCCCCCGCGGTCCATGGCCCCCCTCTCCAGCCGCCCAGTCAGCACGGCAGCGCTGCAGCCCGCACGACGCGCGCGGCAGATGGGATGCCTACCCAGCAGGCTCCGCCGGGCACACTGGGAGAGAGGGACCACTATGGCCGTCCGCAGCCGCGCCCGCCGGGCAGGCAACCCAATGGGCGCACGCCGGCGCTCGACGGCGAGATGCGTCTCGCCCCCCGCAGGGTAGGCAACCAAACGCACGCCCTACGGTTCGACGCCCCGCCGCGCCGGTAGTAGCCTCAACGCCTCAACCGGTCTAGGAGTAGTACGCCGACCTGCTCACCCAGATTTGTGGGCGAACTTCTTTCGCCCTGGACGCGTGACGCAACATGGAAATGATAGACAGTTCGGCGACATTTCCTACACTGTGAAAAACAAATGAGGCAAGTGCTCACAACAAGGAAATGCACGGCATTGGCTATCAAACAGGTCCTCCGGATTCTTCCTCCTCCCCCCCCCCCACACACACACAGAGGCTTCCTGTAGAAGGGGGTGGGGCAAGGATCGCGCTCAATATCATTGTCATGCAATTAAAGAGCGGTCAGTGCGTGAAGCGTCGGGGGGAACACCAGCCAATTGCTCGAATCGGGATACAAGGATCATCACAATTGCCGCCGCCATAGTGTCGGTGACGGGCCCGTGACGTCACAATGACGTCATCCTGACGTCACTCGGCGTGGGGGGAAAGGGGGAGGGGCACCTGTTTTGGTGCCAATGGCGACCGGCCGCTTTTCCAAGTGCATCGGCCCGTGCGACCGCGGCCAGTGTGGTGGCCACCTAGCCGCAGGGCCCGCGCCCCGCGCATCTCATTTGAGTAACAATCAAGCGATGGTCACCGGCGGGGGAGGGGAGGGGGAGGGGAGGGGAAGGGGGGGGGAGGAAGAGCCTCGGTGACTCGAGAACGAGACGTGATCCAACCGACAAATAGTTTGGTCATCGGATTACTCGAAGCGCTGTCGCCGGCCGCCCGGCAGCCCGCACGAAGCGGTCATCACAAATACGGGAAAAAAAACTTTTCTATCGATTCACGAAGAGCTTTCCTCGTAGGGAAGGCCCAGGAGGATGAATTTTTCATAAAAATGATCCGGGAGGACGAAGTGCCACAGGCAAAGTGCGTCAGAGCCTCGTCAAAACAAGGCCTGATAAATTACTGGACTGGAGCCAAACATATCGATTAACTAGGATGTTGTCCTTCCCCGGGCACTAGCAAACATAACCGCGCCGGGTCCCCTGAACTCTCCATCCAACCACGCCACCGCTTGTCAAAGCCACAGGACTCGACAACTCTTTGTCAACACTTTGACAGGCGGGCCTTTCGGTTTCAGCAGTGTAGCCGCGCGGTACTCACATTTGTCCACTATGGGCACGTACTCAATGGTGGCCAGGGGCGGCTCCTTCTCCGGCACCCTCTCCTCCTCCTTTTTCCTCCTGGAGAACATGGCGGCGGCCCCGCCCTCTCACACACGTGGAAACCCTCGCGAACCGCGGCACGCCGGCAAGACGACCACCAGGACGGACTGCGCGACGAGCACCAGGACGAGACCAGTGTCGCGGCGCCGCTCGGCGGACTGGCTGACGGATGCACCGCGCACCTGGCGAGCGCTCGGGTGGCTCGGGGCCCAGGCAGGCCTCGGGGGGCGCGTTGGGGCTGACGTCGAAGTCGAGGGCGAACTGGTCGGCCGGCCGTCCGCACGCCGCGGCAGTGCGGCCGCGGAACCCCGAGCCCCGCCCCGCCACCACACCGCGATCCGGGCCTCAGCCGCCTCACTCCGAGGAGGGATCGTCCCGTCCTCGTCGCACTCACGGGGCGAGCCGCCGGGGTGCGAGAGAGACAGCGTGATCCTTCGGAATGTGGCGGCAGGCCGGATGTACCTCAAGAAAGCCACGTCGTCAAAGGCGAGCGGCGCGCGGGGGGCGGGTAGGGTAGCCGGCCGGCAGCGCGGCCGACGGTGTGCCCGCAGCTGTCCTCGTCGCACTCCAGCCGGCCCGCGAGTCGGACAGAGACAGACGACCGGCCGTCGATACGCGATGAAACGCCGCACCGCCGCGACCGTGAACGAGGAAGTCTCGGCAACTCGTTTCCTCGTTTTGTCCAAGTTTAGGGTAATGCCCCGATGCACCGAGGCGGCCTGGCCTCGGTGCAGCAGCGCCGCGTGTGCGGACGCCCCGACGGGTGCCGCCCCGCCCAGCCGGCCAGCCAGCCGCCGCGGTGCAATCACTGCGGACCTGGCCGGCCTTGCAGTGTAGGCTGCAGCCCGAGGAGGACTCGCTGCACGCCCAAGGGCCCAAGTCTTCGCCGCGCGTCGCCAAGACGGACAGGCCAACGAACGAGCAGCGTGCGTAGTCATTTTCGTCGCTCTGTCTCTCTCGCACATGACGGCACGCCCCGTGAGTGCGAGAGAGACAGCGACTGCGGCCAGCTACCCAGCTGCGCCCCGCGGCTTGCGGCCCTCGGCCCGCGCCCGGTGCTCCACTTGTTGGTGTGCCAGCGCGGGGTATCGCCGGCTAGGCCAGCGTAGCCAGCGAATGCGGAACTACTCGGCTCATTTAATGCGTGTCGTAATTACTCCTCCCCCCCCTCTCCAGCTGTTCCCACGAAATGCGTTGCACCTTCGCGCACAGGTGCAGCAGCCCGGCCGAACCCACACCACCATCCCAACAACAACAACACGGGCTCCACGACGTTCGGCGGAGCATAGCGCGCAGCGCGGCCGACATCAACACATAATCTGCAGCAGGCTGATTCCGGAGCGGTGCTCTGTCTCTCTCGCACTCACGGGGCGTCCCGCGGAGGTGCGAGAGAGACATCGACGAGCCGCCTGCTGTCAAATAACGCAGTGGCTGCGCCGGCCGGCGGCAATTTCGACACTAGTTCAGCTAGATCTGCAATTGGAGTCGAAGGCGACGCACTCCGGACTAACCCGTGCGTGCGAGAGAGACAGAGCGGCTGGTCATTTGTTATTACCGCGATCGGCGGCCGCGCGAGGACTGGGGATTACGGTGACGTCACGCCGGCCGAATAGGAACCCATGAAAACAACGAAACCAAACACCCCAGTGCGAACCAGTGCGAACCTTGGCGGCACAGTACAGTGTACAGTCAAAGCGACTCGACTCACCCCATTCGGGCACCTTCCTGGTGGACACCGTGTAGGCGGGCTCGCTGTCCTGGACCATGTTGTCGGCGGCGTGGCGGCAGACTGAGATGACGGAGATGCTGGCGGCGTGGTCCTGCCCGTCGTCGTCGCGGTGGTCGCGGTGGCGGCCCGCTTCAACTCCAAATGGCGGTCTATTGTTGGGGCAGTCCGTCGACGGTCCCGGTGCCGGTCCCCCGCGTCCGTGGTCAGCACACTGGCTTTGATCGCGTTCCCCGCCGTCGGAGTCAGTCGCGCGTCGTGGGACCGGTGGCGGATGGAGAGATGCGGGCCGCGGAGACAAAGTAAAGTGTCCAGCTGGTCGCCTCGCCGCACGTTCGAACCGCCACGACAGCGGGGCTGGGCGGGGCGGCGGAGGGCGACCGCCGCGCGCCCTACCGGCGGCGACGTCGAACTAGCGTCTTGAAACCAAACAGCAACATGGCAACGACCCAATGCCACGGCCGCGGCGGCCACGCGGCTAGAAAGTTTTCGGCGGAATCGGGAATAATGAATGGCGCGGAATGACTGCATTCGGCCGAGAGTTTAAGAGTCAAGGTGTGGTCGGAAGGCGGACTCGCTTTTAGAAACGCCACGCCTATTGTTTTATTGTTTTCGGCGCGGCCGCCCTGAGTGCCCTACCGCCGCTACCGCCGCTGCCGCCTCGCCCTGGCCGCCCTCGGCGATGACGACGACGACGACGTCGGGGTGCGGACCGTGGGAGTGCGGAGTCAACCTGTCGCCGAGCAGAGGTGTCTCTCTCCCTCTCTGTCGCGAACGCGGCGCGTCCAGCGTGGGTGCGAGAGAGAGGGCACAGCACAGCCCGCTGTCTGCTCAGCCCGAAAATGATGCCAACGCGAGCAGGCGGCCGCGCGGCGGCGTGCGTGGGTGCTGATGCGGGCGGTTGCTTCTTGAAAGACCAATTCTGGAATTTGAGTGTGCGTTTGTGTGTGAGCGAGTAAGCATCTGGCTGTGTGGAAGTGTGTGTGTGAGGGTTCAAATTCCGCCTTCACAGTGGCGCTGACGAGCGTAGCGAAGGCTCCAACGCGCCGGCCACCTCGCCTGGGGCGTAGGCCACACAGCGTGCGTCGGCGTTCGATTGGTTGCCTACCCACCGGGCTCGGCGCGCGGCGTGGACGGACAAAATGTGATTGCAGTGGAAGACGGGTGTCAAACAGACAGAAACCGATCGACTCTTATTGTAATGTTTATTTCAAAACATAAATACTGCTCTAAAAATATCAACTCGCCTCGGCTTAGGTAAAATGGCTATTTACAAAACCCGCTGGGGGTGTCATGGAGGCGCGCGGGAACGAGCAACATCGACATGCACGTCCCGAGTGGACGGTGAAACGTGGCCGTCTCACACTAATATAATATCGGTATTTTCTTCAATTTTTTGTCGATAGTTTGGAGGAGCCTGGGAGAGACTCGCCCTGCTTCTGCACGGCATCGGCTGGGCACGCAGGCCACGCATGCCACGCAGCGGAAGTAGACTAGTTTCACGTTTTGTAGTTTTACGAAAACGGTTTCGCGTAAAATGTATCACAATGATCGTGCGGCGCGGAACGCCGCACGCTACTGTACATTGTACATCGTACGGTACATTGAGCACTCGTTCACATAAATATTGAGCCTTGTGGTCCTAAATGGTATTTGCTCAGTCTTGGTGTGGGGGCGGCCGGGCGGACGGAAGTCCCGGCCCTGCTCTGGCCCTCTGGTCCCTTACTTGATGAGCTTGTAGGTGTCCCACGCTGAAACAGAAAGAGATGACATGAGCTCAGGCTGCGGCGCAGACAAAATAAAATCAATCGCGCCGCGAGGTAGTCGAACCCGAACCCTCACCTTCGATGTGTGCTCTGCACTTCTCGATCTCGGGGTACCAGTCGGCGCTGGTGTAGTTCATCTTGGGCAGCTTGCCGCCGTAGTCGGCGGGCAGGTGGTTGGGGTCCATGTGCTTGTGCAGGGAGGCCATCTTGTCGCCGTGGAAGTACAGCTGTCAAGACAAAGAACGGTCGGGACGTTAGGCCTCGAAAATCACCTCGCAAAAAGAAGAGCCGAGAGGCTGTGACGGCGCGCCTCGAGCCTCAGCGAAGTACTCACCCTGCCCTTGAGCTTTTCGCGGACGAAGGGCTTGAACATGGTCCACACCATGTTGAAGAGGAAGGGCTGCTTGACGATGTGCACCTCCTTGAGCCGCAGCGGCATGGCGTCCTGGATGAAGTTGAGCAGGCGCATGGAGAAGGTGGGCGAGAAGCCCCCACCTGCTTCATGCCGAGGCCCTCGAAGTCCAGCACCACCACCACGCCGGACACCTGGGACTCGGGCTCCAGCATGGCGGCCAGGTGGATCAGGTAGAATATCCTGAAGATCTGGTCGGAGGTGACCTTCTTGGGGTCCCAGCAGCTGCCGCACTTGTTGATGAGGACGCGGCGGCCGTTCTGGTCGCGGTCCACCAGCACGTTGACCACGTCGGAGGAGAGGATGGCGTCCTTCTCGCCCTCGGGCTTGAGGCCGGCCAGCAGGGAGGCATTCTTCTCCTTGAACTCCAGCACCCGCTTGATCTGTTCACACAAAATAGCAAAATGTCACCCGCGAATCCAGCAAAGAACCGCAGTGCGCTTTTGACACGATGCCCGCTGAGAAAGCGACGACGACTAGTGGGGATTTATCACAGTGTAGGGAAACTATTTCTTTGAACTTTATTTCTGTTCCAAGCGGAAGAGATAGCCCCGCCCCCTCCGCTTCCCCTCGCCCCCAGAAAAAAGGCATCGGGCGGTGACCGATACTGAACTGTACTGGAGCTGGTGGGTCACGAGCATGAGGGGCTGGGCTGGGCCGCGTGCACGCACCGCATTGCGCAACCCAAGGTGTCAGTTTGTGGACAGAAATCAAGACTTAGGAAAAATAGATAAGTGAGAGTCGGGTGGACGTTATCAATAATGAGAGGCTCCACTGCAAGAGATAAGGTTTCCTTCATAATCAGGGAACGCTTCGCGCATGCCGGCCAGCGCACACCAAATGAGGAGATGTTTTGACTCGGGGTTTCGGCGAATGGGGCGGGTTGGAGTACTGACCAGGTCAAGTGCGCTCTCGGGGTAGAACTTGCACGGCCTGAGGAACACCAGCATCAGCGCGTCGTCGTCCACGTTGATCTGGATCTTGCCGTCGGCTGTGAACAAAAGCAAACTTCTGTCAGAAACTAGATGGCAAAGGCCAGGTTAGGTTAGGTTAGGTTTGGTTAGTCAGCCAGAGATACGGTCCACCCCAACACCCCGACTGGTGTCGCAGGCCGCGGGCTTTACAAGGTGCTTAAACGGATTGAGAGGGACTTGAAGTGTCGCGACTCGCGAAGCGAACGGCAAGGTTGCGTTTATCAGAGTCGGTGTTGTTGCCACGGTCCGCGGAGTGCAGGCACAGTGCAGGCACAGCGACACGTACTGCAGACAGCATCCAGCAGTAAAGTCCCGTGTCTGTCGCTATGCCAAGCCTGTCCACCTGACCCGACCCGTTTCATTCTTCTCCGGGGAGCCCCTGCCGCGGCCTGACTCAGCGTGCCGCCAATGGCGCCAATGAGAATGCTTTATGATGTCGATAACTAGGCTGAGTCCGAACAGCGCTCTGCGTCCCCCTTGCACCCATACGGAGCGCCCCGCGAGTGCGAGAGAGAGCATCGCACGGAATCAAACTGATGGATGCGCCACAGGTGCGAAGAGAAGTCGTCGCTATCGTAAATTAGCAACATTGTCCGCGCTCATAAAATGATCGGTGGTCGCGTTTCAGTTAGCGTCATCGTATCGCAACGTCTAGACTCGACCGGAATAACGAGAGTATCGAAAGCATGTGTCATTTCGATGTTTTTTTCGCGGCGATTTGGACCCGGAAACGCGCGAAAATCGATTGGGGCGTCCATTTCTGGCTGGGCACCGCAGCGCCATCGAGCCATCTACATGCAAAGCGGCGACTGCTCATCTTTGATCCCGCTCGTTTGGGAGTGAGCGGCGGGGCGGAGCGGCGGTCTTCCCTCTCCCTCGCACTCATTTGCAAGCCGACGACGACGATGAGGCGTTTGTCCGCGAGGGCGAAAAAAGGCGCCGGCGCAAGAAGTACATGCCGCCAAGCTGCCACGCCGAAGAGGTGACAAATTGGTTTCGTTATTGCCGATGCTGGGCGATGCCACACAAGGGCAAGGCAGGCGGGCCGGGCCGGGCTATAGCTAGGCGGCACGCCACTTGAAGCAGGAGTTTATCTCGACAACCGTTGCCCGCTTTGATACGGCACACTGCTCGCAACAAACTCGACCCGGCGGGGAACAGAGGGGTTCAAGTGTTGTCAGCGCCACGTCAGAGTGACTTGGGTGGAATTCGGTCTATTTTGTCGCGAAGATGACGGGCGGGCATGCCTCGGTTTTGACGCGAACCTACAGTCATTGGGCTGGTACGGAATATGGCCTCAATGCACGGTCGCATGGAGTAAAGATGGTAAGCACACCCCGAGGGACACCCTTGTTTGGCGGCGCCCTCGCGGATAAGAGCCCTGAGCCCGCCTCGACCCACCCCACTGCGAGCGGCAACACTCTAACCCGTCGGCAGCGCCCCGACCACCTCGTCAGAGCGGTACCAATCGGCGCCGATTCACTGAACTCGTCGCTGTGCTCCGAGAATGGAGCGGCCGTTACCGCGTAACTCGCGGAAGCTGCAAATAAACGGAAAGGCGGCTCCACACATCGTGGCACGCGGTGGCACGCATGCAGGCGATGCAAGGCACCACCAAGCACTATCGCGAGCCATGCGCTTATCGCCGCCCCGTTATCGACACATCGACGACTGAGGGCCGAGGGCGCGCCCGAGCCGCCACACTGTCGGATAGAGTCCGTTTTAATCTCTTCCGAGCTCCAAATCTGTTTACTCTTTCCCGACGACGAGTCCAGAAACGGCGCGTCGAGTGTTTACCCAAGATTTACGCTGCCTCCAGGAGGCGACCCGCCGCGACCCGCCGCTCGAACGGCGCCGGGGAAAAAAGTGTAGTAAATCGGCGTGCCGTTGTGCATCGACAACGAAACCGCGGTAACAACCGCCAGTCTCACTAAACAGTCACTTTGATGTCATTTTTCGAAGCTGGGCGCCAGTGACGAAGTAGACGAGAAACTCACCCTTGATGAGCTCCCTGAGCTTGGCGAGGGACTGCTGGGCCAGCTCGGGGGTCTCCCGCAGCTCCTTCTCGGCGATGGCCTTCACTCTGTCCGAGATCGGCGACACGTCCATCTTGCAGCGGTCGGCCATCTTGACGGCGATCGGAGTCTACCTCTGCAACAGACAACGGTCTGCGGTCAGGACTCGTCGTTGACGGCGACCTGGCGAGCTAGGCACCCCGCCGGGCTCACCGCTTCAGCTGTCAAGGCGGCGGCGCGAGGATGGGGACTGGAGTGACGAGCTCGGCGACGGCGCGACTTATAGCCCCCCTACCGCCAGGACCGCCAGCACTGCCAGCCGATACATTGACATCGGAACCTCGGCGACGAGCACCGCGACGAGCACCGCCAAGAGCACCGCGAGCACGCCGCCGCCACCCGTGACCCGCCTAGCGTATTTAGAGATGCAAAATGAACTGCCCCCGCCCCGCCCCGCCGCGCCCCGCCGCGCACCCACGTCACTGCGAGTGCTTCTTTCGGCCCTGGAGCGCGTATGGGCGCGCGGCGCTATCGAACGTCGAACAAGAAAAGAACAAGACTCGGCAATCTTGTGTTCTTATCAGTGTTGTGTGTGTGTCATTGCACACACGCACGTGGCGGGCTCGGCGTTGGCGGACTCCTCTCGGACTCCTCGACGGCGCCGAGGGTGATCCATCCGCGGCCCGCCCTTGGCTCGCCTTGGCCTCGACGCGATGCCCGCACTGCGAAACGCGCGATACGGCCCGGAAGTGGAGCCATTCAGAGCTTTCCATTCTCGAACCTCGAACTCGAACCTCCAACCACAAGGACGCACGCGCTGCCCAAGATTGGCAAACCGGACCGAACCACCACCCGGTTACACAGTTTGGGCGCCAGGACGGGGCGGCTGTGAGTGGGCGTGCTGTCCCTGTCGCTCTCATCCGGCGCCCCATTGAGGTGCGGGAGACACTGACGACGCCTCTTCGGAACCAGCCTTCATGGCATACCTGGCGAGCGACCATTAAAACCACCGTCTTTCTTCAGACCCTTTTTATCGATGGGGTTGCGGAGAGGCCGCGCGAGGTTGGAGTGCCTTGCTGACTCGAACCGCTAAAGGTCTGCATAGGCCTAACAGCGTTGATGATGATGATGATGCTCTGTGTTGCGGCCTGCGGGACGGAGACGCCGTCGAAGAGCGCCTACACTGGCAATCCCTGACGCACACGCCGCGGCGCCGGTGGGGGAAGGGGGCGTGGACCCGCGTGGACCGCGAGGGTGGGGGTAGTGGGCGTGTCAGGTAAGGCAGGCCGTGGGGGCAGTGGCGTGACGAGGGAAAAGAAAGGGAGGTTCAAAACACCCCCTTCCTCCAATTGTTCAAGGCGGCTGCCGGGCGGGCAGTTTCCGCTACACTGTAGGCAACAAGTGTGCCTCCGGCACGTGGCGCCCCCACGTGGACCACGGCGTCGGCGCCCTCGGTGCCCTTGTTGCCCTGAGTGCCCTCGCCCCCGCGCCGCCCCGCCAAGGACACCGTGACGCGCTACGCGAGCTACGCGGGCCAGTGACGACACCGCACGCGTCAGGGCGTCACAGGCCGGCAGGCCGTCAGGCCGTCACGACGCCGAGCTCATTATCGCACAGCTGCTCGGGGCTCCGCGCACCCCGCTCGATGTGCTTGGCCTGCTTGGCCTGCTTGGCCTGCTTGGCCTGCTTGGCCTGCTTGGCCTGCTTGGCCTGCTTGGCCTGCTTGGCCTGCTTGGCCTGCTTGGCCTGCTTGGCCTGCTTGGCCTGCTTGGCCTGCTTGGCCTGCACCACGGCGTCCAGGCCGCCCGGCTGACCGTCTCTGTCTCACTCGCTCTCGCCAGGCGCCCCGCGAGGGTGCGAAAGAGACAGAGCGACAAAACGCTGCTGTAGTCGTTGCAGCCGCTGCTGTGCTGCTACGCGTGAAAATTAAACCGAAACCGAACTTGTCAAATTTGCCCCGCGGGGGCGTGCGCGCGCGGCGCGGAGGTTCTCACGGTGGGGGACGACGGGCGTTGCTGGCGGCGCAGAGTGGGCGAGACCGGTGGAGGCGGACAAAACTCTAGACGCGTTTTGAGCTCTAGAGTCGCTAAACAGGCCTCGAACCGAGCGTGTGACCCCACCAATGGATTCCTCGTTCGGAGAGCAATCCATTGGTGGGGTCACACGTTCGGTTCGAGGCCCATTTAGCGACTCTGGAGCTCAAAACGCATCTAGAGTTTTGTCCGCCTCCACCGGTCTTCTGGCCCACTGTGCGGTGCTGGCGCGGGCTCGGACTTACGCTGGGGCCCTCGACTTGCAAAGGCGTATTCGCAGACGCCGCCGGGTCGCGGCGAGGCGAGGCGACTAACGCAAGGTAAATCGACTAACCGCGCCGGCCCCGCGCACCGCGCACACACACAGCCTGCACTCACACACACGCTGTGCACACACACAGGCACTCTCCGCCGCGGGTCACAGCTGAGCCTATATCGAGGCGTCGCCGGCGTCGTCGCGGAAGGAGCGTCGCCGAGCGGGGACTTTGGGACACCTCCCAAATGTCAACAACGGTGCATAGCGCGCCAGTGTCCGTGACGTGTCCGTGACGTGTCCGTGAACGACGTGACTGTCGCAGTGACACGCGCCGAGCCGTGCCTGGGCTCGAGCTGACTCCGCCCCGCTCCGCCCCGGCCGGCTGGACTGAGTCAATGTTTTTCTGTGAGCCATGCCCGCCCCGCCCCGGCCCGCCCCGCCCTGGCCGGCCGCGCGAAACCGTGACTGCACCGACAACGCCGCGATAGTGGCGGCTTAGTACCCTTCCGCCCCGCCCCGCCCCGCCCCGCTTTTCTAAAAAACGACCGAACGCGCGCGTTGGATGGACCGCGGACTCGGGGCTCATTGACGGCATCCCGATCCGCTCTACTTCGGCGGCGTGGCGCGCGGCGCGGGGGGTCCCTGCCTAGAAATAACGCTTGACCCTCCGTCCTCAAGGCCGCGTTTTGTTATTTTTTGAGCCTCCACGAGGCGCCCTGCCCACTGCAACAACAGCCGGGATGACCCTTGGATGTGATTCCCCCTCGGTGTCTTATTTCCACACAATGTTCCCCGCAGTGCCGTGGCGTCCCTGACCCCGGCGCGCTTCAGCGGCAGTGCATCTCAGGCCTCTTAATTAATTAGTCGCTTTGATTGTGTCGAACATGACAGCCGCACGCCGCGTGTCGGGTACACTGTTCGGCGCCGCGTTGGCGACGGCGATGCGTCCGCGAGGATGCTCGCCCCGCCCGCATGTCGCTGCACTTTCGGCTGAAAGTGTGCCAAAGAGTAGTACAGACTCTCTGAGAAAGATAAAGGCGGCTCGATAAAGTGCCCTGCGCGTGGCCGCTTCTGTTCCGAACGGCGTGTCGTCGCTCTGTCTCTCTCGCACCCCTACGGTGCGCCCCATGGGTGCGAGAGAGACGGAGAGCGCCCCGCAGGCCGCAGCGGCTGCTGCATCTCGGCTCCTCGCGCAAGCAAAGATGCACGGCCCGCAAATAAAATTTTAAAAAATTGTCCCAAAAATTATTTTAAGGAAACCGGAGGGTAGATGGCGATGGAACAGATTTGAAGATGCCTCTCTCTCTCGCACCGCCACCGCCACGTAACCGTCTGTGGACGCCTCCTCCGCCAGCTGAGCCAGCTGCGCGCCGCACCACGAGTTTTTCATACCGCCGCGGGGTGCGTACGGCCGGCCGGCCGGCGTGCAGTGTAGCAGCATGCACTTCCCTGCCGTGCGCAGCGGTGCTGCCCGGAACCACCGGCTGCAGTGATGCGTCCACTGCCAAATCACTCTTACGACACTGGAGGGGTGAGAGAACCCCGAACCCTCGCCTTGTGGCAAAGGGCTCGACCCACCGAACAATAAGGAGACCAGGCTTTCGCCGCGGATCACTATTTCGTTGGCAACAGGCTGTTGAGAACGTCTCCCCAAATGGCCGGCACCGGGCACGGCGCTCGCCGGGACGGTCGGTGACAACGTGGTGACAAGCGCGAGGCACTTACTTGCTCGTTGATGCACTGGGGGTTCCCTGGGAATGCACTGACTGTCGCACTGTCTCGGCACCAAGCTTCCTCGCACTGTGACTGTCACTGACGGCCACCTATGTACTGGCCATGGCAGTCCGTGCCCCCTCCCCCTGCCCCCACCCCCGGCCGCCCTGCCCGCCCTGGCCCGAGATGCCCCTAACAGCTACCACGAACCTCAGTGTAATCTCTCGAGGCGCAAAGGTCGGGCTACCGCCGTGCCAGCCATGCCCGCCGTGCCGCGGAGCCGGCCATGCCTATGCAGCTAGGCAGAAGGCAGGCCGGCCGCGGCCCGGCTTCGGACAGTCGCGCCGAGCCCCGCCGAGCCCCGCCGAGCCCCGCCGAGCCCGCCGAGCCCAGCCCCCCACGGGCCGCGGCAGGGGCGGGAGGGGGCGGCGGGGGCGTCGTTCGGCTCGCCGTTCGGCTCGGTTCGGCGCTTGTTCGGCGCGAGCGACTATCAGTCGCCTCCACGCTGACTCTGATTCCTTGCGGCTTATCAACAACCCCCCTCCCACTCCTTCGCCCCTCCCTCCCCTTCCCCCCGAGCGCATCGGGCCCCCCGCCTCCCGTGAGCGTCACTTGAGCTCTTCTAAGCTAAGCGTTGTGCTTTGTGGTTCAAGGGTTACAATATGGCACAAAGTGGCACACCGTTTGGAACTGTTTCATTCATGGAATCTTGCAGGCCTGGACGGGCCGTGCTCAGGCATGACTGCGCTACTCTCACTGCATCCTGGCGTTTTGCATTTCGATGTTATTGCAAGATGGATCTCAGTGCCATCTGCGTCAGGACACCTCTAGGATGAAATTTAACCACACAAACTGAAAAATGGTGTCCTTTTGATTGAATGTTTTTATTTTTTAAATTCGCTGTCAGTTGTGCCTGCTCATGCTGGGCGCACTACCGCACTGCGTGAAAATCCCCTTGAAGCACGCCTCTGGCTGAGAGGCTACTTGAGCAATACGACCCCAGATAACATGATGCGCGATGCAGTTCGAAGAAAAAAGTAAAAGAAGGTATTCAAAGTGCACAGCGAAAACCTGAGAGGTGCGATCATTTGGCCGGACCCGGGGCCGGGCCAACTCCGTGTAAGATTATGTAAGTGATATTTGCGCCTTCAAACTCGAAACTCGAGCGGAGATCCGTTTATCGGAGTGACCCTCTTGTCGAGCTCCTTCAGGCCTTCAGTGTCAGCGTTGTCATGTGCACCTGTCACCGGGTGCCAACATTATCTTTTCGAGTCCCGGATGAAACCAAAGATCACTTCCAACCAATCGAAATAACTTTCGAGAAGAAACCACCAGCAGCAGCATTATTTCCCCCCCCTCCTCCGGTCCAGTTTAGGGGCTGCTTTACAAAAGGAGCCAGCAGGGGTTGAGTGACTAGGACTAGGATCAGCCAGAGATAGATTAGTGCAGCAAGGGCCTGTGCTAGTCCACGAGTGCGAGAGGAACGGGGTACTCCAAATCAAACCGAATCAAACTCGTGTCGGATCGCCCAGAGAGAATAACCAGCCGGCCGACGGAATGAACCTTGATACCAGGGGACCAGGGGACCAGGGGGCCGTGATGGAAACGCGGCGCGCTGCGTGAGTCACTGAAAGATTCGATGGTTCAGAGGGCGACCTGGCGGTGCGGTCGGCGTGCGGATGACGTCACCCTTAAAGTCTGCAGCGCGGTGATTATAAGCGGAGTTTGCACTGCCGCTGGAGTCATAATGCACTGCTGGAGGTTCCTCTGTCTCTCTCGCATCCATGGGCTACCATGGGCCGTCCCGTGGAGGTGCGAGAGAGAGGGGGCGACGAAACGCCGGCGAGGTAGGCAACGCGCGCACACACCTGCGCTCCGGTTGCCTACCGGCCGACGCAAGGGGCTCCAGCGCGGGCTCCGGACTCCGGGCTCTCCGGCACGCAGCGCGCGTCCACGCCACTGTGAGGCGATGGAGGCGGTCGAAATCCCGGACGCGTTTTGAGCTCCCGAGTCGCTAAATGGGACTCGAACCGAACATGTGACCCCACCAATGGATCGCTCTCCGAACGAGGAATCCATTGGTGGGGTCACCCGTTCGTTTAGGTCCCATTTAGCGACTCTAGGGCTAAAACCGCGTCTAGAGTTGCCGCCTCCACACGAAAATGAATGCACTGGGTGCCCGGCACGCAGACGTCCCCGAATCCAGACCGCAAATGAAAAAGAAAACTCTCGGTTTCGACTCGCTCTGGTTTATCGGTGCGGTGGTCACCCGCACGCAAACAGTTCTCCAAAAGTGATACACGAAACGAAGGGGGCAACAGTGTAATCTCCTTTATCTATCTTCTTACAGTAGCAAACAGGCAATAGCTGTTTGTTCATGAGCGGTTATCGATGCTGTCTCAGGAGCCTCTGATAAATGGCTGTCCGAAAGCAGAATCTATTTTCAACGCATTTGTTTCAGGGGGGCAGAAACAACGGGAGAGCGGATGGCCTGCCAAATGCTGGGGGAGTACACACGCATCATCAGTTCATAAAACGGACGCCATCGTCACGCATGATGCTGACGATAAACCCTCGGCGAAAACAGAGGGGGAGGGGGAGGGGGAGCTGGAGGGGGTGGGCGTGAAGGTGAAGCAGGCAGCAGGTGCGGCAGGTGGTTCACACTTCAAAATGCGCGCCTTAGGATTCACCGCCCTCTAGCGCAAGCGCACTGACAGAAAACACTTGACTGTTTACTGTCACCTGAAATCTTAGGTTATGGATTATCTGAGCATAGAACGATAAACACGGAAATAACTAGAAAGAAAGCAATGGATTGGAGTTAGTAATGTTTTGACTGTCATCATGACTTCCATCATTGCGTAACATATCAGCCATTCAGAGAAGGTATTGTCAAACCTCGTCAGACGTGGCAAAAATAAACTGTTAGGTAAGTTTTCATTCAGTCAGCAGACAGAATGACAACAGGTTACATATCAGGTTGCGATTTATTTTTCGTTTGGGCCTTTCGCCTTTCTTGTAATTGTTTTCTCTTGGAATTTAATTTCATATGATGCCTTATAATTTAATAAATCATTGTAATTTTTTTTCAAGAAGTTCAACTTTACAGGTTTTCAGATATTTTCTTCTGCTTCTCTAATATTAATTGTTGTCTTCTCAAAGAAATTTGGATTCTGGACAGATTTACTTTGTTAAGTTATCTCATTCAGAGTTGAACATTTACAGGTTTGGTCGATACTCGTTGATATCTACATCATGGCAGTGTGGATGGATGGTTTCGATTTCCCCCCTGAGCTCTGTAGTAAGCCTTTAGCATTAATTGGCATATCAGGCATTGATGTCACCAAAAATGCATCTGACCGTGAAGTCTGGGAGTCGCTTAGCAATAACAGGGCCCCAAATAGAGCTCATATAAGTTTCAAACTTCTAGAGCCTCAGCATGTATTTCCTGTTATGAAACCCAAGGTATGTTTTTACCAGTGGCTTGAAATGTATGAACGTCACTGACATGTGATGGAATTCGATTTCTAACAACTCTTTAACTATTTTTCTCAGAGAAATACATACGACTGGTACATTCCAAAAGGTATCCTTAAGCGGAACTGGATTGTGAAACACCTTCAAGAGTTACCTGCTGTCAATGTTTTGTTCTATCATCTTGATTGGGACGATCCCAATTTTGCTGCCAAGAAGCTTGACTGTGCGAACAGATTGCAGAGTATTCGGTTAGATGAGACTTTCCTTTTGCTCTTTCCTAAAGAAAAACCTTTCAAAAAATTTAGATGATAACATTAATTTATATTTTCAGAGGAGCTTTGAAGGGGCGGTTAACAAGACTAGCTGTGGTGCTGATCCAAAGGACTGCTCCAGTGGCAGGAGAGGACCCGTCTGCTGCTGACAAGGCTAATGCACTGTGTACCGCTTGCGAACTCAATCCAAAATGCTTGTTTGTTCTTCCGCTTGGAGATCACCTCCAAGGATACATTCTCAGGTACTTCTTGGAAGACTGTGATTCAGAACTTGTTTGTCTCAAAATCATGGTTTAACCCCTTTCTCTATTTCAGGCTAGAAAAAGCATTTCTTGAATTAGCTCAGGGTTATTATCATCATGCCATTCGGGCCATCAAGTCACACAGAGACCAACTCAATAAAACAACTCAACAATACCTCATGGTGCGACACTTATTTAAAATTGGACTATTGTCTGAGCTCAAACAAGATTCACATAATGCTCACAAGTAAGTGCTTTCCTTATTAATTGTTTGGCAAGATTTCTTTATTTTACCCTTTTTATACCTTAATTTTAATTGCAGGAGTTATGCACAAGCTTATAGCCAGTTGTTGGATTTGCGTGTTGCGGACACAAATGCCATGGAGGTGAAGACAGTTGCTGGACTCATTAACTACAAAATCTGCCGTATTCTGTTTTCCCAAAGTATGCCTCGTGACGCTATTGCTCAATTTAGAGCTCATACTGAAGCATTTAAAAACCGAGAAGGTCACAAAGATCTGACCTTTGAACATTATGGCTGGTTAGCCAAGCAGTATTGGGTTTTTGGAGACTTATTTGATGAAGCAATCAAACAAGGAGTTCAAGCAGTGCAGACTCAACATCCTGGATTTTACTACCAACAAGCTGCTCAGTTGGCAATTCAAAGGAAGCAAGCTTGTGAGCAGCTTTGTCAGAATGTAACAACGTATCCCGAGCCAGACCCACTCACTGGAATGGATACATTGGAATTTTTCGGCCAAAGAGCATGGCGACCTGGAAGTTTAAGCGTGGAACCAATTGATCCTAGCAGGGAAAGAGATGGCATCCTTGCTCTTCAGTTCAGAGAGAAAAACGGTGTGAACCACTCGAGCCTTATCATAACATTATTTGGGATTGCTATCTCACAATTCAAAGCTTTCCGCTGTCCACGGATGAGGCGACAGCTCTTGGTTCAAATGGCAGAAGAATACTTCAGTGCCAAAGATTATGGAAAAGCACTCACTGTATTAACACATATGCTTTGGGATTATCGATCAGAGAAATGGTGGAGACTTCTCTCCGCTATCCTCTTAAGAGCGTTAGGATGTGCCTATCTCACCGCAGGACTTCAGGACTATGTGACTTTGTCTCTTGAAGCTTTAGGCACTGCTGCTCAGCTGACGTCTCAAGACAAAACGAGAGTGTTTCAAAATCTAAATAGAATCCTGAAGAGGCAGCTACCGGAGCCGGAACCAGGCCTCTCTCCAATAGATCTTCCTCATGCAAAAGAATTATGGACAGCAAGCTGTGCGTCTGTAGATCCACCATATGTCACAGTAGATATGAGCAATGTTGCCTCTTGTGTGGAAAGCAAAGCCAAGTTCACTGAGTCTCAATCTCATGTAGACAAGCCAGTGCTCATCGAAGTATATGTTAGAAGTTCATGCCCACATCCAATTCAATTTTCAAAATTATTGGTCACTGTGACTACTCCAAGTATGAGCACTGAGCTCCCTGCCTCAATAGTGGGGCCCTCTGAAGGTCATCCATTGCATTTTGAAACAAATTCAGTGAAGTCATACATGTGCCAGTTCATCCCAGATCACCGAGATGTTGGAAATGAGATTCAAATCACCTCCATTTTACTTCATATGGGAGCAGATGGAGATCGTAATATAATTTTACGATACTCTTGTGTGAGCAATGAATCGTCTGGAGCTGATGACATCTGTCCTGAGCTTCAGCATTTCAGACCTACTCCAGTGAAGTCAGTAAATTTTGACAGCATACGTGTACAATCAACAACTCTTCTGGTGCCTCGCACGTCATTGTTGGACTTGTCTATTCATCATGACGCACCTGCCCTCCTCGGCGAGTGGTACAAGGTGCAGTTAAAAATGCTTAACAATGAGCTGTGTAATGCTTCCTCCTTGAGTGTTGAAGTATCTTTGGTGCCAAGTACTGATGATCCACACCAAGAACTCACAACTCAGTTATGCAAAGATGTATCGGGAGAGTTAGTTTCTCTTCCTATGCAGTTAATTATTGGGGATCTCAATGTTGGTTCCTCCAAAGAAATAAGTTTCTATGTACGGGCTCTCCGCCTAAACACAAGAAATCTTCTTATAAAAGTAAGGTTTTTTGCTGCTGTTTTTCTTCTTAAAAATGCTAAAATGAAAAAGAAACATGGTTTTAATTTGTGTTTTTTTCTGTCCAGGCAAAGTATTTAATGCTTGACCCTTCTCTAGGCATCAATGCAGAATTTTGGAATGTTTGTGAAAAACTTGTGACAATATCAGTTGTAAAGCCATTTGATGTTTTGACCAAGTTCATTTCTTTGCAACTTGACCCACTTACCAAGGCAATAGCTCTTGAGCCTTTAATTGCAATGCCCCATACAGAATGTCTTTCACCATGGCCCATTGTTATTCACAACTCATCCTTTGAGCTCGTGAGTCTCTTGATTCTATTTAGACCTATTTCACGTTTTTTATGTCACAAATCTAAAATTATCTTTGGTTTTTAAATTTCAGGCCCAGAATGTACGTTTGGTAGATGACTCCTTTGTATCCCAACTGGAAGGCCTAGAACTACAGAAAGGAGAGATGGCTGCAGAAGCAACAGTCCTCAATATCACTCAGCCTAGTGATCAGCCTGTTCATGTAGGGACATATCATTTACAGTGGAGCAGGTGGGTAACAGCATAAAATTAACAATGTGCCCTGTGATGCATTATGACCTCAAACCTTCATTGAATTTCCTTTTCTTCTGTAGGAAGGGACAGGAGCATATGGTAACAAGCAGCACTGTAACATTACCTACCCTCAGAGTTGAAAATGCTCCAATTTATGTTGAAATGGTACTTCCTGCTCATGGTTGGGTAAGAACACCGATGGCTGTGTCATATCGAATTCACAACCATACAAATCGCCTAATTGATGTTGACCTAAGTATGGAAGCTAGTGATGCCTTCATGTTTGCAGGCCATAAGCAGGTATTATTTTTTCTCTTGTCTTGAAAACGGATTTTTGTCAATTGGAACTACTACTGATTTTATTATTCCTGTGTTCCAGCTTCAGCTTTGCTTATTACCCGAATCAGTTCGTACGCTAGATTACAATCTGTATCCTCTTTTGTCGGGGCTTGTTGCTCTGCCTAGACTCTGTCTCTCTCTAGTCAAGGAGGGTCAGTTGGAACTTCAACCTCCTGCCCTGGCCGAACTTCTGCAACGTTGTTTACCAACTCATGTTTATGTTATGGTAATGAAATTAATGTTATTGAAATTAAGATGAGACTACATATGAAGTGGGAATAATGAAATTTGTTTTTTCCAATTTTTACAGCCTCAAGCTAAAGGTAAAGCAGCAACACCACAGGTACCTGTACCTTCATGAGGTGGCAAGAAATCAAATAATTGTTACAAATTAATAACAATCATGAGATTGTAAATCACTGATGTCGAATCAAGACCACACACAATGAGATTGTATGTTTCCAAGTAATAGGAAGTTGTTCTCTATCAGAAAATTGTTGCTCTTATGATATGAAGTATATTGTTTTTGTTACTGTTTGTATAGTTTGTGTTATAGATAATTTTGAGATACTAGACATTTTATCAGAATATAGAATCTCAAACTGTAAAGCATTATTTAATCTTCAACCATCACAATGGATTTCAGGGATGAGTAAATACTAGACAATTGAAAAACACACAAACATTAACCAGCTTGTCACAATGTCACATACAGTCTAAAATGAAGGATGAATTTGTCTAATCAAGTCCAGTTGTTGTAAAGTTTAACATCACATTTTCAAAGGGGGAAATATCCATACAAACAATTAATTAATATTAACTAAAAGTAGCCTAGATCAATCTCCAAGCATATCTACACTGAGGCAGTCCTCTCCAAGATTGCTAGGTGATGTCTCCAGGTCTCCAAGATCATTTGATTCACTAACAGGAGGAAAAGAAGCAGATTAATTTGTAAAAAGGAAAAACAAGGATTTTTTTTAAAAGCAGGGTTTTAGTTAGCTTACCTGTCTAACGAAGGCTCATTACTAAACATTTCGGTTGGAACAGTGGGTGGTGCTCTCTCAGGCAACAGTCCCATGAATGAGTGACCACGAGCCGATAAATGCCTCTCAACTTCTTCAGGGGTCATGTGGCCGTCTGGAGCCAGAGCTGACACAGCAGGTGATATTGAGGGTATTATAAGTGATCCCATGTTTACCTAGATTAAGGGAGAGCAAAAGTGACATAAAGCAAAGAAGTTCAGGAAAAAATGCAATAACAAATATTGATCAGAAAAAAAAATCTTACGCTGGATAAGCTTTGTTTAGAGCCTTTTATGGCTGGTTTCTTCTTTTTGGAGGGTGCTTGGGGTTTTTGCACCACTGGTGCCCCAGCATTATGAGTAGTTGGCGCTTGAGCATGGGAACTTTGTTCCATTTTTCTCCTAACAGAAGAAAACAAAGAGCTATTAGTAAGAGGAAAATATTCAAAATTTAAATGAAACAAAAAGATTACCAACCTTTTGATATCTTGCCTAGGTAACTCTACCTCACCATCAGAGGATTCAGTATCTTCACCCGATTCACTTGATGATGAAACATCTACTTTTTCATATTGCAATAGTCTGTCCAGTAAGAAACTCCTATCTCTAGCAACTTCCAATAACTTAGCTCTTGAAGTTCTAAGATTTTCTTGATAACACTCATTTTCCTACAAAATTTAGAGCTCCGTATAAATATATAAAGCCAGTACTAAAGGGACACTATAGAGAAATTCCAAATTAGAGCTTACTTACATAAATCAGGTACTTAAGCTTCCGTTTGAGCCGCTTATATTGTTCTTTGTAGTCTACAGTCTCACTCTGGCTCACTTCATCTTCCTCTTCTTCCTCGTCATCATCGTCCTCTAACGCCTCTTGAGCTTGCTGTGCCATTGAGTGGTGGTACCACCCCTGCTGCATCATTTGAGCTCTTCCTTTACCGCTCATCTGTAAATGAAAAACAGAAGCTTGTCAGGTATATAGCTCTGAACTTAAAGAAGGAGACTTGATAAGAGGCCGAAGAAAAAACAAAGAAATCTTCGAGAAAAATGATTGAACGACTGTCAAAACGATTAAAGATACTAGAATTGAATCATTTGGGTCCAGTTTAACCTCAAACTCCACGATGGCACTAAAACCATAACTTTGCGATGCATTCACGTAGGGGAAAGTTTGTAACAAAATAAACTTAAATTTAAAAACGTTGCTTAGATTAACTGACTTTGAAATAAAATAGCTCATAAAAGTTACAATAATATCAATGTAAAGAGAAACAACATAGCTGACGACAGTACCTCGAACTTTTATAGAAACTTATGAGACGCGTTGAATCCTGAAAGGAGAACGCCAAAGAATAAAATAAGATTCAAAAGATACTGTTATCAGTCCTTCACTTTAAAAACTTGAGCAATAATCGAGCTTAGCTCGAATATTTTGTTTATTTACGTTTTGGAGCGTCTGTCACTCATTATTTACACTCAACACTGCCTTCTATGAAAATTTCACTGATTCCCGCCCATTCAAACTTTGTTGTTGTGGGAGGTTATGTGTTTCGTCTTTCAGTTTGTTTACTTTCTTAATGACAAAATATTTCAGGGTAATGGACTAGCGTTACTCAATCTTCCAATTAGTATACTCCTTTATTCAAATGCCAGAAATGGGAGACAGCGAAGAAGCGTGGACAGTTGACTGTTCTGATGATGAGTCAAACAGTTCTACTAAGGTTAGATTTAAAATGAAAAGGGATTAGTAAACCTTTTTTCTAAAATTTACTGAAATTTTTCAGTTGAATAAAGATATTAACTAATTGTGTCGCCTTCTACTATGGGTGAGGTAGTATCAAACCTTATCTGTGAAATTTTCTAATTTGTCTTCAGCTTGAACCAGTCCCTCCGTCTTCTGAAGTTATTAGAATGTATGAAGCATTAGAGAGCAATGGACCTCTTCCTATCCAGTGGAAGTGGCCTCACGGGAGAAGAGCTCCAACAGATTCATCAGGTTTCATTGAAGAAGATATTGAAGAGACAGAGGAAACAAAGTAAGTTAGACTCAACGTTCATGTTGTTTCTTCTTTTCTCTGCTTGTTATGCATTTTAATTTCTTTATTATGATTTCAGAGTGGAGGAAAAGTCAGATTTTGACTTCATGGACGAAGCTGCCACCCCTGTGTTAAGAAAAGGAAAGGCTTCAGGACCTAAGGGAAGTGCTAAGAAGAAGACATCAAGTTTCTCGGGAATTCTATCCAATATAAAAAGACATCGGCAGCAAGAACAGTTGGAGAAAGAAAAGTTAACTGTTAGGAACAAACGTTGAGAATAGCTTAAAATGTAAATGCAATTAGATACAACTTATTTAAATTTGTTTTTAAGCAACAACATGTGATAATATTATGACAGGAGATTGTTGAAGACTGAGATGCATTTCTAATAGGCGATTCTTTCTGTTTCTCTTTTCTTTCCCCTTTTGAGATCATTAGGGACAGTTCTTTTATCTAATAAAAGTATCTGTCAAGTCCTTGCATAACTCACTAGTTTCCCATGAAGAATATTTTTAATCTTCTCCCGGTTTATCAAAACCATATTTTAAAGTATTTTGTTGTTTCAATCAATTTTTCACTTGGCGTATATGTTGGCCATGTACTTGAACTCCCTGCTTTCCTGTCAAAGATATAATGCTCGTATAGTTATGATAGATTTTTACTTTTAATAATCATTTTATGTATTATGAGTGCAACGGTGTGCGTGTGTGCAATAATTAGTCATATAGTGTTATTGTATTACCAAATGTCAAACATTGAAAACTATTTTCGAACTAACGGTGACAAATGTCCCGGTTTTGAAAATTATATATTTTTTTTTTTTGCAATGAATCTTTCTTTCTTTTAAATGCCCCCACTCTATTCACTATGTGGATCAATCTGATGATGCCTGTGTCGTGTCATGTCAAACCCAATTAGGCAAACATTGAATGGAGGCATGTTTTAAAGAACGGCCCGACTACTACAACAAATGCCGAAAATAGACTCTCTGAGTGGGGACGGGTCGGGGCGGTGCGAGAGAGACATTCCCCAGGGACAGACAAAGGGCCCGTCTAATCGCACGGATAGATCGGGCCGTAACCAGCAGACTCATTCAAAAGGGTCGCATCGCTTCAGCGTTCTCTCTCTGTCGCACCCATGGGGCGGTCCATAGGGGTGCGAGAGAGACGGCGCGACTCTTGCTTGACACAGTGGCTCCAGTTTCAGCCACACTCGCCGTGTAATAACGCCGCGCGGGACCTGAAAAAAGAGAGGGGGGGCTGCTGTGGCGCCGGGCCGCCGAGCTTGGCGAGATGGCTTGCCGATAGGGTTCGAAGCATGGCGACGGCGTCACGCACCATGCCATGCGACGGGCGGACCGGCAGACCGAGCGGACGGACTCGGACGGCCAGCGCGCCCTGGAGTGAGTGGATCTGGATCGCTGGAGTGGCCGAGTCCTGCAGAGTCGCGGTCAGGGACAGGACGCGTCGCGGACGGCCAGGGAATTCCGTCTCCGCGCCGCTGCGGGACTCTACAAGTGTGGGCGCGGCAGCTACCCGGCACCACGGAGGGGTCCACGGCGTGCGCGACGGAGTCTCGTCCTCGTCACGGCCGGGCCGGGCTGCAGCAGCCAGCAGCCCCAGGACGCCGTCGGGGGTGAGGGAGTCCTCGCCGGCTTGCACCAAGGAACGGGCCTCAGTGGCGGTGCGGCAAGGACAGGTAAGGCTCCAGCGTGGAGGGCGTGCACACACACCTGTTAGACAACTCTTTTTCAAATTTGGCTGGAACTTGGAGCTGATGCCCTATACAATTTGGGATATTTCCGCACCCATTTGCAATGTCTCCGACGTAAAACTTTTGGGACGTCGTCGCGACCTCTGAGGCGAGTCACAGTCTCGGGAGAGGCCCGGCAAACCGGTTGACAGGGAAGTGCCAGTGCCGAGGTTCGCGGGAAATTAGTCGGAGAGCGACCGCGCTTGTTCCTCGTCCCACAGTGGTCCCACACTTTCCCACGCCGCGGCCATTAAGGCACTCGCGCGGCTTCTAAACGCGCCGAAAAACAGAAAGGTTTCCGCGGGAGCAGGACGCAAGCGCGATGCGCGTGCTGCGGCGTCGCGAACATTGGAACCGTGAATGGAACGCGCTGAAAAGTCGGAGCCTGAAAGGGACGATTCAAGTCGTTTCGTCGATCTGTCTCTGTCGCACTCGCGGGGCTCTCCACAAGGGTGCGAGAGAGACAGAGCGACGGCTGGCGGTGACGGTGGCGTGGCATGCCGGCGGCGAGCTTGACCGCCAAACCGCGTGACACCAGCTGCTGTCCTGACGGTGTGCCGACGGGCACTGGCCACTGGGTGCCGGCCACGAGTGCCACGAGTGCACGCGTGCGAGTGAGAAGGCTGCAGTCGCGTTTCAAACGTTCAAAGCGCGCTCGCCGGCGAGGCGACCTTCCAAACGCCCACCGAGCTCAGCGCGGCAGCGCGGCCGCCGTCACGCGGCTCATGTCCAGGCCACCATTTCCTAATTGTTGTTTGTGCACTTTTCCATTTTTCTTTCAGTTTGCGAGGGCGGCAGTGGTCCCGGCATGCGGCGAGTAAGCTTCGCCTGAGACTCACCCGCCGACAGGTACGCCAGCAGGGCGATCGCCCAGTGTGCCGCCGCGCTGTCTCTCTCGCACCCGTAGGCAACACCCTCGAGTGCGAGAGAGACAACGCGGTGCTGACGCCGACGTGCACCCGCAGGGCTGGAGGGCGGCCGGCTGGCCTAGAGGCGCCTAGAGGCTTGCCCAGCGAGATGAAGCAGAACAGGGCCTTCTGGTTGCTGGGGACGGGCATCGTCCTGGGCGTCGCCGCGCTGGTCGGGGCCTTCTACGCCGGCCCGGCGCTGCTCGCCAAGATGGTCATCGAGGTGAGCGACGCCGTTTTCCCGCCTTCCTTTCGCACTCGGGGACAATCGTGAGGTTTGATTTTGATTGAGTGAAGATATCAGCCTGCCGCCGCGCCGTTGGCGGCCGTTGACGAACGTGTCCGTGGCACGCGGGACGCGGCGGGACGCGGCGCACGCCACTGCTAGTTTTGACAAGCCGCGCCGCTGATACACCGCAAACACTCGGTCCAGCCCAAAGACAGCCCGCTGCATTTTTACCGCGGCCGGCCGGATCGACGGCGGGAGGACGAGACGAGGACAGTGATTGGCAGGCTGTCCGTCACTCTGTCGGCCTCCCACCAGGCCGGAGGCCTTGCCGGAGGCCTTGCCGGCACGGAGGCACGCCGCGGACCGGAAGCGACTGCTTTCGATGAAGTCTCTTTTTCTGCCGCCTTTTTTCCCGCAGTGTTTAGAACACCGCTGTGTTTTTCCGAGTTGTGCATATACGGATGGCGTGCGCGCGCGCTTCCTAAAGTGTCGCCACGGCGAAACGGGGAAATGGGCGGCGAGACGCGGAGCGCGGAGGGGTGATCCGAAAACACGACACGCCACTTTACCGCCCCGATTGCACGCAAATGCACGCCATTGGGCGTTCGGTCCGGTGCGGTGGCGGTGCGGTGGCGGTGCGGTGGCGGCACTGCCGGCGACTGCCCTCCCTCGCCGATATGGGGAATGGGGTTCGTTGACACGGAAGGGGTAGCCGACGACGCACTGGCAATGGCACTCGCGCGATCCGCCATAGCGAGGCCCGATGGCGATGGCTGGATTGCGTCGACACGACAGAAACAGAAACACAACAAGCTAGGGGCGGAAAAGAAAAGGAAAGAGACCTCGCCTCGCGCGGCCGGCACGCTTCCTGCTTCCTGACTGACGTCCGGCAGTCCGGCACGACTTCTTGACGTTCCATTAAAAGGCCATTAAAGGGGAGCGGGGTCTTTGGTCTCCGCGTGGCCTTGGCACCCCGCCCCAAGGACACTGTTTGCTTGCCCCTCGCGCAACAGCCCTGGGTTACAAAATGACTCGAAAAACGAGACTTGAACTAAATTTGATATCTGTTTGCGCTTTGCAGAACGTGGTGCTGAGCGATGGCTCGGAGGCGCTGCAGCGCTGGACCGTGGTGCCGCAGCCGCTCAACTACTACGTGTACATCTTCCACGTGGAGAACCCCGAGGAGGTGTCCAAGGGGGCGCGGCCCGTCGTCCGGGAGCGGGGCCCCTACGTCTACGAGTGAGTCGCCTCGATCGCCTCGCTGTCTCTCTCTTTTCTCTCTCCCTCTCGCTCTCATGCCGCGCCGCCAGTCTGTTCAAGGAGCGCGTCGACGTGCAGTTCCACCCGGAGGACGACACCGTCTCGTACTTCGACAAGACGCACTACCGCTTCAACCAGAACAAGTCCGGCTGCCACTCGGACGAGGACGTGGTCACCATCCTCAACGCCCCGGTGCTGGTACGCTGTGGGGGCCGCGGGGAAGTCCCACTTGAGAGCCTCGCTGCTCACTCTCCTCACTGTTTCCCACAGGGCACGGGGCTCATGCTGAAGAAGATCATGGAGGTGGTGATGCCCATCTTCAACGAGGCCATCCCCCACATCTTCCCCAGCGCCCCGACGGCCTTCATCACGGCGCGCGTGCGCGAGGTGCTCTTCGACGGCGTCCTGGTCAACTGCTCGCACCCCTTCACGTTCTACCCGGCGGGCCCCGTCTGCCAGGGCATGCGCACCCGCGCGCCCGTCACCTTCCGCCGCGAGGGCCAGAACTACTACTTCTCCTTGTTCAACCACGTGAGTGTTGTCTCTCTCGCACCGCAGCGCGGCGGCGCGGGAGTGCGACTGAGACAGAGCGACGACCCTTGTTGCAGCTCAACGGGACGGACCGGAAGAACCGCGTGCGCGTGAGCCGCGGCCTGCGCGACCCCATGTCGCTGGGCAACATCAGGCGCTTCGGCAACAGCTCACTGCACTCGGCGTGGCGGCCCGGCACGCACTGCAACATGATCAACGGCACGGACACCACCATCTTCCACCCGTTCATCAAGCCGCCCGGGAAGATGCCCGTGTTCGTGTCCGGCTCCTGCAGGTGGGTACCCTCGTCAGCGTTCGAAGTGTCTCCCGGAAGCAAGGAGGTAACGCCGCCCTTGCGACGCTTGACAGGTCGATGTACGTCACGTTCGAGAAGGCCGTGCAGTACCGCGGCGTGCGCGGCCTGCACTACGTCGCGGACCCCAAGATGCTGGCCAGCGGCCGCACCTACCGGCCCAACCGCTGCTTCTGCCCGCCAGCGCCGCCCGCGCCGCCGGGCGAGGACAACGTGAGTGTCGTCGGGGAGCAGGGAGCGCCTGCGCGGCCCGGGGTAGGCCGGCCCGCCGAACACAGCGCCGCGCGCGTTGCCTGCTAACACGGCGTTTGCGGTCCCCGTAGGTGGGCGCGGCCAGCGCGCTGCCCGCCCCCGTCACCGCCCTGCCCCTCACCACCGGGGCCGCCACCAGTGCCGCCGCCTCCACCGTCGGGGAGCTCGAGGCCGCGGCATCCTCCCAGGCGGTGGCGGCCGTCACCAGCCCCAGCGCGGCCCCCGCGGCGGAAGAGGAGGCGTCGACGGCGCAGGACGCGGCCAGGCGGCGGCGCGACGTCACGGAGGACCTCCGCGAGCAGAGGGATGCGTCGACGTGCCTCCCCGACGGCTCCCTCGACATGACCACGTGTTTCGGTGCGTCAACCCCCCAGCAGGGCTCCGTCGCTCGGAGCGACGAAAGCACTGTTCGCAATCGACCTGCTGTTCTTTAATCTTTGCCCTTGATGGACGGAATGGCTTTGGCAGGCTCTCCGGTGATCCTGACGCTGCCCCACTTCTACCTGGGCGCCAGCGAGTTCTCGCAGTACGCCATCGGCCTCAAGGCCGACAAGGCCAAGCACGAGACCTTCGTGGACATCGAGCCGGTAAGTTAACCAAAAATGCAGACCCGAAATTAACCACTGTAAAATCGACAACGGTCTTTGGCGTTCGCCTGCAGATGACCGGCGTCCCGCTCCGCGGCGGCAAGCGGGTGCAGCTCAACATGTTCCTCAAGAAGATGGAGCCCATCGACGCCCTGAGGGACGTCAGCGAGGGCCTGTTCCCCATCGTGTGGGTGGACGAGGTGAGCTCTCTCTCGCACCTCTACGGCACGCGCCGCGAGTGCGAGGGAGACAGAGCGAGACTGACGACGTGCTTGCTCCGCAGGGCATCGAGCTGGAGGGCGTGAGCCTGGACCAGATCGCGTCGGCCACGCGTCGCATCACCTTCCTGCGCGTGCTGCCGTGGGTGCTGCTGGGCGGCGCCGTGGTGCTGGCCGTGGCGGGCTGCCTGCTGCACGTGCACTCGCTGGGCATGCTGCAGCGCGCGCGCAACCCGCCGCAAGGCCATGAAGGGCCTCCGCTTGGACCGCCGCCGGGCAACTACGGGTAGGGACTCGGACACGTGGTTTGCACCGACCTCGCCTCGCCGGGGGAGTCTCGGACGCGGCAGCCTGCAAGGCACACTGATTCCGAGTGTCGTTTTCCTCGCTCTGTCTCTCTCGCACCTTGCGGAACGCCCTATGGGTGCGAGAGAGACACAGCGATGAAAACGGCTCTCGGAATCAGTCTCCTGACGGCGTGTTGGTTGCAGAATCGCACTGGGCTTTGCGCGGAGGGGCGTGCTGCTTGGTGGTGGTGGTGACCAAGGTGGTGGCGGTGGCGGTGTGGCACCCATCCTCAAGGCCCCGCTGCAAACCCTGCACAGCCTCAAGGGCCTCCAGGTCTCGGACACCAAGGTCGGCTCCTGGTTCAACAAGCAGGCCAAGGAGGGCGTCCGCACCTTCTGCAACAACGTGCACCCCTCCAAGAAAGCCTGAACCGGAACCGGAAGCTTGATTCCGGTTTCGCCGAGGCCACAACGAAACCTTGCCATTCGTGTGACTGTCGCGAGAGAGATAGAGACAGTGTGCCAGTCACAGTGTACCTGAGCCGAACTAAACGCCTCGTTTTCATTCGACAGCTTGAAGGAAGAGACGGGCACCGCCATGTGGTCCATGCCAGCACGCGATAAGACTAACGGGAAGTAGCCCCGGGATTTCGAAGCGAGAAGCGAGCCATTGCCTGCCAATTTTAACTATTTTAATTTATGTCTCAGTCAGGAATTGTAAATAAATTTTAGATGGGTGGAACTCGTAGCCTCATTGCCCTCCCCGAATCCTTTGACACAATGCACACACGCCCCGACAGCGGCGCGGTTCAAAAGTCCCGCGGTTGGCGCCTTTTCTCCGTCGACCAATCAGCGAGCGGGGCTTTCCCCATCCGCCAGCCGTCGCCATGACAACGCTCTGTTTACACAACATGCTTTCTGCTAGCGGAGCAGCAGCACCGAACACCTTATTGTACCTTGGACATTACAAGAAATTGTCGCACTTACAGGGCAACAAAAAAAGTTGCCGGTAGACACACGTGGCGCAGTGTTTTTCCCCTGCGTGAAACTTTCTCTACGAATCCAACGACCGACGACAGAATGCGGTTCAAAACATCGGTAGGGAAGGAACCTAAACACAGTGATTTTGTAACATGTGTGGATTGGAACACCACTGAGGAAGTGTACTCTTGCAGGTAGGGCTAAGGTAGATCCAACTTATGATATTAGCAATCAGCAATTCATTTGTTAACTCAACATATTTGAAACCACGTAATTTCTTTGCAGTGATGACCACACTCTCTTGAGATGGAATTTGATGAATGGGGAGACTACCAAAATTGCAGACCTTCCCAATAATCTGTTTCCAACAGACATGCATTGGTTCCCTAAAGGTCCGAGCAGTAATCGGAAACAGGGATCCGATCTTTTGATGATAACATCTGCCGATGGTAGGTGTAACCTTATTAAAACACAATACACGTTTAGAGTTTTCCTCATTATTATGGTTTAGAACAAAAATGATGGGACATTCTATTTGCAGGCAAATTTCACCTCTTAAATAAAAATGGGCGTATCGACAGGACAGTCGAAGCTCACAAAGGGGCAGTCCTTGTTGGACGGTGGAGTTATGATGGTGCTGGCTTACTTACAGGTAAGTAGAAAGTACCCAATGGAAGAATTACCACATTGATTCAAATTGTAGTACTGACAAGAGAAATATCTTTAAAATGTTAAGCGGGAGAAGACGGCCAAGTAAAGATTTGGTCTAGAGGAGGAATGCTGAGATCTACAGTGGTGCAAGCAGGTGCTCCAGTGTACAGTGCAGCATGGAGTGCTGATTCAAATCAAGTCTTGTATGCTCAAGGAAAGATGCTTGTTGTCAAGCCTCTAATGCCCAATAGCAACCCAAGCCGGGTAAATACCAGTACATCAATTGCCTGCTTGCTCAATTTTTAGTGGCCAAAATGCTCATATCCTCTGTGTCTATGGTTTTACAGTGGAAAGCTCATGAGGGATTGATTTTGAAAGTTGCATGGAATCCTAGCAATAACTTAATAGTGTCTGGAGGAGAAGATTGCCGCTACAAAGTATGTACCTAATCAAAATCAACACACACACCTGCCTTTGATATTTTTTAAAAGCGACTGTCATCCCTCAGGTTTGGGATCCTTTTGGTCAACAATTATACAGCAGTGCCCCACATGAGCACCCAATCACCGCCCTTTCTTGGGCTCCAAATGGAGGGGTGTTTGCTGTTGGAGCGTTTAATACTTTACGTTTGTGTGATGAGAGTGGAGTAAGGAAAAAATAAACCTTCTTTCCAAGAAATTTAACTATTTGAAATTAGTTGAAATTATTTACATAAATGACATGTTTTATTTCATTTTTTAGTGGTCTCATTCATTGGAGAAAATGAATTCTGGGAGTATCTATGCATTAGCATGGTCTAGTGATGGAACTCAAATAGCAGGTGCCTGTGCCAATGGCCATTGCATGTTTGCACATGTTATAGAAAGGTTGGTGCCATTATTATCATGTCTCCAGAATCTGCAGTAAATTTGAGAATGAGTGATTAACTTGTGCATGTGGCCTTGGAAGGCGTCTTGAATGGCATCAATATGAGGCTACTCTCACAGGAAGAAGAAGCATTTCTGTACGTGATGTCAGCAATGAATCCTGGGAACGTTTAGAAATTCCTGACCGAGTCATTCAACTTGCGCTTGGCTATGATCACTTGGTGGTGGTCACACCTTCCCAGTGCCATATATTTAATAGCCACCACTGGAATACTCCGACCATACTGGAACTTCGGGAAGGGGCAGTATGCATGCTACTGCTCTGTCCAAAGTAGGCTTTAAAACAAGCATACAATCAAACAAGACAATTTTAGAAATTTATGATGGTGTGTTTCTAATAATGTGATTTAAAATTACAGGTTCTTCCTCTTAGTCGAAAGATCTAGCGTTAACTTATACAGCTATGAAGGTAGACTAGTATCGTCACCTAGGTGGGCTGCCATGCAGCCTGAGACAATGAATGAGAAGAGTATCAGTCTTAGTGATGATACTCTTGCGGCAAGGGATCAAAACGACCCAAAGGGTAAGGAAGCATTAAAAAAAAAAATTTTAATTAAAAAAATAAGGCAACTTTTTCAAACTAGCTAATATTATACCCTTTTCATCCACAGTGATTCATGTGTTTGAGATTGGAACAACAAAGGCGCTCTCTGAGGCTCCGCCAATGTTGCACACTGTTGGAATACTTGAAATTGCTCTGAACCAGGCAGGCTCTGCAGCAGACCGCCTCATTGCATTTGTTGATAGGAGTCATGACCTCTTTCTAGCATCAGTGCATGGATCAGGACAAAGAAAGTTCGGAAAACTAGGTATAATCAGCTCACTCATTTAAAATTCATAATTTAATATTTTTATTAAAATAAAAACAAGACATTGAAGGGAGCATTTTTGTTTGAATATCAGGAAGAATGGTACAGTCTCTCCGCTGGAACTGCAGCACCAATATCTTGGCTGCGATTCAAGACACAACCCTGAGTGTGTGGTACTACCCAGCAGTAATTTTCAGCGACAAGCGAATTGTGGAAAAGACATGTGCAAAGAATGACTCCAGGTTCGATGCACAAGGTGCATGAAATTAAAAAGGATCATATCATCTTATAGTTTCTAATCAGGAACTTTCTTTTGCAGCGATTTCGGCAAGAATCCTGTTGTGGTTAGTTTTGTTGGAAATCATATTGGAGTAAGAAGAGCGGATGGTTCTTTGGTGAACAGCGCTGTACCAATGACAGTTACAACATTGCATGAATTTGCATCAACATCTCGATGGGAAGAGGCAAGGAAGCTGTGCAGAGTGGTAAAAGTAAGGACACAGAATACAATTCTGCTAAAAGCAGCATGAAGCATGATTTTTTTTAAAGTACACAATAAAGGTGTATCTTGTTTCTAGGAAGATGCTTTGTGGGCCTGCCTAGCAGCTATGGCCACTAAGGCTAAAAATCTGTTAATAGCTGAAGAAGCATATGCTGCCATTGAAGAAACAGACAAAGTAGCTTATATTCAACACATTAAGGTGAGTCTGAAAAGTAACTATATCTTGCCACTGCAATCCACTTTTGAAAGATGTAAAATTAACTCTTTTTTCTTCACAGACAATTCCTAACCGGACTGTGCAAATGGCAGAAATGATCCTGATGACAGGCAACTTAGATGAAGCAGAAAATTTATTATTGCAAAACGGTTTGGTATTCCGAGCTATAATGGCAAATGTACACCTCCATAATTGGAACAGGCGAGCAAATAAAAAAATGTATTATGAGATGTCTTTGATCTTTAGCAACTGCTCTCTAAGGTTTAATAATCTATGTTACAGAGCTTTGGACATTGCAACAAAGCATCGTACGCATCTTGATACAGTCTTGCTCAGTCGTAAACAATATCTTGATGCACTTCAGAAATCAGAAATGAATGAGAAGTTTCTGGCAATGAAGGACCAGGTGAACTAACTTTCCAGTTGAGACTCGCTTGTTTCTATTGTGATATTTTATTACTTTCAATCTTTAATTTCAGGTACAGATAGATGTGGTCAAAATTCAGAAAGCAATTGAAGAAGAGCTTGCAAAGGAGCGAAACAATGCTAAATGAAAATGAATGATGTAGACAGCTAAATCTAAACTTAGACACAAATGTTAATTATTTATAGTGATCTCTTTGTTGTAAAAAATATAAAACTCTAATATTAAGATTTAAAAAAATGCAGAAAAACAGAAAAATTTGGTTCAACAACTGATTAAGTTAACAATTGCTATTCCACCTACTCACATTATCACCAATTGAAATAGGTTACTGATTCACCGCCGAGCAAAGTTCTGGTCCATGGACATCTTGGATCGTTGAATGGTATTCAGCTTTGACTTTATTCTACCCTCAACAGATGCCTGATTTGCGGCTTTGGAGAATTGTTTCCTGTGAGGGGGAAAAAAGGTTAGAAAGAAAACCAAATGAAAATTAAAACCACAAGAGGTGCAAAATTGTTTGTACCTGGCAAAGTCCTCATCAAAATTCTCGTGAAGCTCCTTCTTTTCTCTGTCATCTTCTTTTCTATACCGCTTGACATTTGCTTCGCGTTCTTTATCCCGCCAAGATGCATTTTGAAGCATTTCTTGACGTCTCCTCTCCTTTTCCTCCTCTGACAGTTTCACTCTTTCCTTGCGTTGCCAAGTGGGAGGGTTCGGCTTCTGCGGCTGCACAGCTGGCTGAACTTCCCTATGAGGATTTGATTTTGGAACAGGTCTTGAACCATCTGCCATCTAGCACACAAGGAAATAAGCCCAGGTTAGATGCTGAGGTCCCAATAATACATGCAATGAAAATTAAATTTCAAACCAAAACTTACAACCAATCCAAACGTCCTTCTCTTTTTAGATTTATGGTCATCATCAGAATCATTTTGATGGTCACTAGCTGAACTAGAGCTTGAGCTTGAGCTTCTCCTGCCTTTGACATTCTTCCTTCTAGTATCATTTTCACTGGATGGTGACCGGTCTTTATTTTTCTTTTTTTCAGGAAAGTGTTTCCTTGCATTAGTTGTCTGGGGGCTATTGCTTCTCCTGGTATTTCTACCAGATTTCATGTCAGAATACTTACTCTGCTCCCTTTGATTGTGAGAGTTTTGTCTGTCTCTGCTTCTTGACCGGCTATTTCTCCTCTTAGACGTACCAGAATGCCTTTCATATTCTCCATCTCTGCTCCTAGATCTGCTCCTCCTTCTAGATGCACTAGAATTATCATTAAAATTTCTAGATTTGTGTGATTTGGGACTTCGAGATTGTCTTCTACCATCTCTGTGAACATTGTAGCTGGAGGAGTGGTCATTTCTTCGGTTATCTTTCGAATACTTTGGAGAATGTGATCTTTTGGGAACAACATCAACAGGAGACTTTCTCCTCTTGCGGTCTGCAGTTTCATCGTCACTTTCACTACTGCTGTTGTCACTGCTGCTGCTATCACTACTTTTGCTGGCCTTCTCCTTTAACTTGCGAAGAAGTTCTCGATCTTGAAGGGCACTTTTCAGCTTTTCTGTTAAAAGAGCATTCAATTCCTTGTCCTCCTCCTTTTTACTTGACTTCTTGCTCTTTTTCTTTTTCTTCTTTTTATCCTTCTTGTGCTTTTTTTCCATCAATGACTTAGATGCAATCTGTAAGAAAATTATGACAAATAAAAAAAAATTACATTTTGGAAAAAAATTAATCTATGGTCTCTCTATAGGATGGTGCTACCTGAACCCATACTGACCATTTTTTGCAACTGTTTCAACCTCACTGGGTTATCATACAGTTGTTTGGCTTTCTCAACCGCCCTTTGTCTTATTGCCATAAGGGGATCTTCATTCATTTTTCGAGCTACATCCACCTGCTCACTAAAAACACTGCTCTTAGCCTGTCGTATGGCATCAGGAACTCGTTCTGCAAAGATTTTCGTTTTTACAGTGAAAAAGTAATGTAGAAAACATCACATGAAGAATAAACTGACAAAGAAATAATGAAACACACAGTGGGTACGGTACCTTCATCTTGTGAGGTAGACGCTCCACCCCTCTGCTGTTCTTGTTGGTGCCTCTCAAAGTTCTTATCAATCGCCTTTCCAAGCAGGTAGTCCTCATGGTTAACGCTGTGACTGGGGCCTTTGTACATCCACTCAAGTTTGACATCATCTTTTTTCCTGGAAAAATTGGTTTAAGGTGTCAGTCTACAGTTCCAATGATAGTATATACTTCAGATAATAATTCCTAAAAAAATAAAAAATTAAATACGACATTTATTTGTTTTATACTTAAAAGTATCTTACTTTACAACTCCCGTGTCTTCAGCGAATTTCTGCATATCTTCTTTGTCCCGCTCTGCATGTATTTCTCTCTGAAGTTCTGCTATGCGCTTCTTCTCTTCGTTGTCTTTTTGTTCCGCCTTCCATACCCGCTCCATATTTTTCATGGTGTTTGGGTGCCATGATTTCTTTAAGTTCTATTAAGTAAAAAGATATTAAAATCCTTGAAAACAGTCAAAATAAAATTTGTTGAGACTTAGGTTAAATTTACAGTGTGTATCTTACCAGGTCACCTCCACCCATGATGTCAAGTTGTTGAAATGTCAGACGGAACTAAGAATAAAGAGATCAGGAAGAAAATGAAGATTATGAAATGTCAAACATAAATCGATGGAAAATACAGTTGAAACAGAACCAATGCTGTTTCCAAACAAGCATATAGCATAAAAAATAGGATTTGAAAGGGGGGAGGGGGAGGGGGAGGTAGTAAGTACCAACACTGATAAATAAAAAGTTACGAACAGATGTGCTGAAGAGCATTAGTTTGCTTTGTAAACGAGTGAAGCTCCTTACTTACCCAACTTTTATGGTTTTGGGATGAGCTTTACCCCGAAGATGGATTTTTCCAAGGAGAAAAGGGTGGCTAGCCTGCTCGTTTCACTTTCTACGACTTTCAGTAGGCCGTGATCTGGGACGAAATCACCACCCACACGAACGTCAGCTGTCTCATCTGTCGGGCTGCTTGGCTGCTTCTTTCCAAGCTGCTGTGTTTTCCTTAAGTGTTGGACGGGATTTGCGTTGTTTGGTCTTGCAATAACTTGGCACTCATACTCGGAGCGATCGGATCCCTTCAAAAATGGCTGTTAACGCGAAAACTATGGACGTGAACTCGCTTTATGATTTGAGTTCTACAGTCATAATGAGCTATTTCCACTTGTACGAAAGGGAGCTCAGATCTTTGCCAGAAAATATTTTGTTTGATCTCTACTTTAAGGTAAGCTCTAATGCACTCTAGTTCACTCGTGTTATTCTTCAATGTCACTAAGAATATGCGTCGAATTCGTTGAGACGCAGTGTTTAGAACTGGGAGCTTAAAAATGTAATCTTACCCCCTCCACTCCCATTTGACCAGAGATATGGCCAATGGTTTGTTTTGTTTTGCTTGTTTTTTTTTTTGGAGGAGGGCGGTATGCATTTCTTTTTTCTGTTTTCGAGAGACTGTTAACTGCCTTGTTTAAAGGAACGGCAATGCCCCCACTTTATGCGGAAGCGATAGGCCCTCCCGACTCTGGAACCATGCATTGTTTGTTGGTTTGGTTGGTCTCAGGCTAGGCCTTGTACTTCAACTAATGCCTTAAATTACTCTTGAGATATTTGTGCGAATGCATTTTAACATTTTCCAATTAGAAGAATTTCTGCTTGTTTGTCAATGTTTTGACTAAAGAGAGTTAAAAGTCACTAATTGCCATGCTTCCATCTTCAGCACTGGCCTTTACGTTACCGGTCTTGTGATGCAAGCCCCTGTTCTGTACATAATTTTAATCTGTTTTGCACACATTTCTTTATTGTGAATTGTAAAATTTAGATATTGAGTTGCTGTGTGTTGGATCTTCCAGCATAACAAAACATACTCTTCCACTGATTTTCAAATATTGTAATCTTTTAAACCCTAATTTCTGCAACTGATGATTAATATTTTCTTTCAGCTCTACGAAGAGAAGAGAATATGCCTTTTGGGTTGGGAACTTATCGACCTCAATGTTTTTGCTCGAATGCTTAAAGTAACCCACAAACGGACTCAGTTGCTCCAATGTTTCCAGGTAAAGTCAAACAACTAGTTAATTCACATTTGAACAGTTGGTGGTGGTTATGGGGTGGGGGGTTGGAGGGCACAGGACAGGCACTGAGCACTGGGTGTGATCGCCCTCTCCCATCACATCCTAATTGTGCCTCCCACAACTGATGCCCCTGTAGGTGGCCGATTTCTGTGCTATCACCTCTCCCTCCTTGGACCCATCAAACCACCGCTGCTACTTTCTAATGATAATAATGCTAATCTGTTTGGTTGCAGACATTGATGGATCATGGCACCAACATTTCAAAAGAGTTGTCAACAGCATATGCCCACAAATGCATGTGCTCTCAAATGTGCCCCTCACTTCTGGAATCAACAATTGATTTGGGACTAAGATTAGGCAAGTGAAAGTCCAGCTATCTCTGTTGTGTTTTTCCACTTGCATGGGTGGGGGAAGTAAACAATTGATGACTTTTCTGTGCAGATTCCTTATCTGTGAGCTTATCTTGAGATCTGCCATTTGCACTAGATACAATGTTTTCTCCTTGTTTGCTACTTCCACTACACACTCAAATTCTGTCTTCATTTGTATTAGTTAAATAATTACTTTATAAGATATGTTTTCTTGCCTTTGCATGAACTTCCACTTCACCTTCAAATTCTGTCTACATTTGTATTAGTTAAATAATTACTTAATAAGATATGGTTTCTTGCCCTTGCATGAACCTTGCTAATCTAATCTGATGTTTAAATTGTTGTTTTTATCAGGTGGCTTTTTGAGTGATGCTGGTTGGTTCAAGGACAGTGAGGCTGTGTTGTTTCACTGTAGAGATCTCTGTTTGAGTGCCCCTGAGACCCCCTCCTCTCTCAGAAGAACGTTAGAATGTTACCACAAGTAAGATTAAACATGTTTTTGAATGCCACTTCAAGTATTGCTTCTTTTATGATTGTTTTTTTTCTCTTGTGTTGTAGACTTTTCCATGTACAAGCTGCATTCTGCCTTTTTCCTGAGGCAGCTAAAACTTATCAGGACATCAACAAACTAATCCAGACACTGAGAAAAATGAATGAACTTCCTAATTTAGCTGCTCTGTATAAAGAATTCTCTATTCATTTCTTCTTGCGCAGTGAATATGATGAGGTCAGTTTTTCTTCCAGCTGTTACTATATTAAGCCTTATGTTTGGTCAGGGGTCTTACATTTTTATTATTGCAGGCCCATAAATGGAGTGCTGAAGCCTTGAGAGAACTTGTTCCTGGTCTTCCTGCCAGTGTAATTGTAGACGTTTTGAGACAACTATCAAAAACTTGTGTTATCAAACGGCAGTTTAAGAAAGCAGAGGTTCTTATTCGACAAGCCATCCGTATGGCAAATGAAATATACGAGCCAAGTCATTATAAACTAGCTGATGTTCTTCTTGATTATGGATATTTTCTTTTGAACTTTGATGGCATCAGCCACTGTGTTAAAGTAATAACTAGAGCTTTGGAAATAAAGAAGGCAATCTATCGCCGTAAAAACATTTATGTGGCAGCAGCATTGGAGGATCTGGCCTATGCCTTGTATGTATATGAGTACAGCACTGGTAGATTTAAGCGTGCCAGGTAAGTGTTTTTTTTTTTTTCATCTGAGATGAATCCTCTGTTGGTATCGAGACATTGTACTGATTTTTTCAAAAACATTTCAGAGAATATGCTGAAGATTCAATCAGTATCCTAGAAGCGCTTCTGCCTCCAAATCATTTATTACTGTCTACAGCCAAGCGAGTTAAAGCCCTAATTCTAGAAGAAATCGCGCTTGACAATCAAAGCAACACTCTTGGTATGACTAAAGATATGTTGAATCTCCTTGTTCTGTATTTTGTCTGGATATATTTGAATTTTTGTGTGATTTTATCTTTACAGTGGATTCCCTACTGCCAGACGCTGAAGAACTGCACATTACTGCACTAGAATCCTCCATCAAAGCTCTTGGTGATAACAATGTGCAAACAGCCAAACATTACGGTAATTTGGGACGTCTATATCAGAGTATGAAGAAGTACAAGGTGAATACTTTTGATTGGTTGTTATTGTTTTTTTCCTATTTTATTATAATTTGTTCAAAATAATTTCTTTGCTTCTTTACCTTGTAGGAAGCAGAAGAGATGCAACTTGTGGCAATTGGAATTAAAGAGCAGATTCTTGGGAAGGATGACTATGAAGTTGGATTGTCACTTGGTCATCTTGCATCCTTGTACAACTATCACACCTTTCAGTACCATAAAGCAGAGGAACTTTATTTACGCTCAATTGAAATAGGTAAATCATTGAGCTAAGTTTTTATTTTAGTCTTAAGGTTGTATACTAATATCATTTGCCTGTTGCAGGGTTGAAACTGTATGGTGAGACATACTCTGGTTTGGAATATGACTACAAAGGCCTTGTCCACTGTTACAAAGAACTTGATGATGTAGAGAAGATGGCACACTACACCTTCATTTTAAATCAATGGAAGGTACTACGGGGACAATTGAGCATGCAGGAAAACCGGACTGACCTGGAAGAAACTGGACCCCTACAGCCACTTCCTGATCTTATCAATTATTATTTTAAAGACTAACAGGATTCTGTAATACTTCTGTTCCTGTGATAAGCTGTCTGCAATGTTATGTGCCGTTTTCCATGTTTTCATGACTAATGTATAGTTACAGCAGTGGCAAAATGAATAACATGAACTATCAATAGCAGAATCAGCCGATGGAGGTTATGAACTTACAAACCCTAAATGGTTAGTTTTAGGTGCAATGTTCATTGTAGGTCCTGTTTGCATGTTTTGTTGGTCTTTTTGCCACTGATGGTCTACTAAGACTGAGCCACTGCATCTTTCCATGCTGAGCTATTTGTACAATCTTGCTCTTGAAGAGGAGACCGAATTTTACTGAATTACTGAATTGACGAACTTATTAAACTACTTATAAGCCTTATTCAAACACTGTTTATGATTGACCATGAGAGCATCCTTATAGGATACTTAATTAAGTATTTGATTAATGTAAAAATATTAGCTAGCAACAGTATTGTGTACCTTTCTCTGTTTTCATTTTTATGACTATATTTGCACTTTCATTTAAAGGCTTCACCCATAGTTCATCCTAAACAACCTCATATCCCTTGCAAGCTTTTATTATTTATTGAGTGCCACTAGTTCTAAGATGTATGTGCAATCATTTTGTATTGTTTCTTATCTTTCTTTTGAAATTTTGTTGTTTTTTACGTGATAGACCTTGCTGTGCTGGACAAGTGTTTCAGTAGCGAAATAGGGGCAAACATTCTATTTGAATACAACGTCGACAGGGTAGTGGTACATCTACTCCTTTAAACTGATAATGGTCATGAGTTGTTGGGAGTAATATTTGACCCCTGTAATGTATCCTAGTATAACTGTTATATAATGAATTTGTAGATACTTACGCCTAGTCATTTGCTTCAATTTGTATTAGTGTCTTGTGGTTTCATGTAAAGGAGGCAATATAAATAAACTAGCTGAAAACTGACTCATGTCATTGCTTGCAAACAGACTGTTGTCTGTAGTTCAAACGTTTCTTGTCTTAATTACATACCAAAAGAAGCATTTTCAAGCAATCACATGAGACTGGTTTTGACTAGTTTCAGTGAATTGCCCCCTTAACTGAGAACCATCTCAGGATCCCTTTGCCATAGGAGCTACCATGGTAATTTTTGTGTGTTGGACCTTGTCAGAATATTGTGAAGTTTCATAGGAGCAGTTGATTTCTCAGGAGCATTCCCCTAATACTCTGGATGTAAGGTATCATTGACGTGTAAAATTTGTATTATCTAATGAAGTATTAAGAATGTGTTAATTTTTTCTTCGCTGGAAGTCTTTAAGTGGTGTTTTGTTTGTTGATGTTGGGCCTATATCTGTTGGTAAACACCACTGCATTTGTTTCAAATGTGATGAGTGACCATTTCATTTCAGATCTGAAGTGCAAAGCTTTTCATTCTACATATATTGTGTAGTTTTTTGTTTTTCCTTTTTTTAAAAAAAAATAATCTTTTAACTTGTTGACTATTTCTTTAGGACCTAGTAAGGTGCAAGAATTAGACCCAATGGTGGTTTTGTATTGAAGAAAATTTTCCATGTGTATTCCTTTTGTTTTTAGACTATGTTGTACAATATTCACTCTCAATCAATCTAATGTGTTATTTGCGTTTTTATGTAGTGAAAGATGTCTTTTTGAGCACATGCATCTGAAATATGTAGTTGGTTGACTAGACGCTGACTGTAAATTTATTCTGGTCTTTGAAACAAATTTTGAAAAGTGATTAAGAATGGCAACTTTTGTACTTCTTACATTTATACTCTTTTATGATGACTTTTTGGGGCTAGATTTTGGAGTCTTCTTTCCTATTTCTTTTAGTGCAATGATGTAAAAAGAAAAGTTAAATACTAAGGGGAAGAGGGTGCTTGGGATAATCCCACAGTCATTTTTATTCAGTGCAAGCTAAGACTGTGAACTTTTGCTAATTTGGTAATTTTGTCTTCAGCTATGATAGTTCTAGAACTGTTTCACTATTGTAGCACTGGAACTGGAACCATGTAACATTGTTTTGGTTTTATTATTATTATGATCTAGATCTCTTCAAACACATTTTCATTTTATGAATAAAGAAGTTTGAACTTTTAGTATGTATGACTTGAGCAGTGCTTCAGCTGAACAATAATTTACAAAAAATAACAGTTTTTCTAAATTTCTTTTAACATTGATGTATTGCTTGTGTGTTAACAGCACTTTGCAATTGTTCTGAAAACTATATTGATGAGTTACTGATTGTGATTGCTAACTGATTAGTCTTACCATACTTAGTAAGTTTAGATTGAAAGTGCTTTTCAGCCTCTGGCTTCTGTTTTAGCTGTAAATATAGTACTGGCTTTCATGTAGTTCCATAAAAATGTATATTTAAATGTATTCTTTTGTAACAATTTGGCATCAATTTGATTTAGAGTCTGCTGGGACACAAAGCCTGGAGCTGGTTATCTCAGGCTATTAGTTCAGCTACATGTAACTTACAGAGATTATAATCATAAGGATTTGTGATAAATGGAAAAATTTTGTTGTAGGAGGGAGGGCACAGTCATGCTCAATGTAGTTGTGGGATGGAGTTGCCTTCGTCTCTGAAGCAATAGCACGAATCTCAACTAATAAGGCAAAGAATACCTGTCCATTGTGATCTTTTTTGAAAGGATATTTTCGCATAAGCATATCGATTGCATTAAAGTGGGGTAACTTGAACAAGATTTATAACTGCCAGGCAATTGCGTGTTAAGATTTGATTATTTTATTCCTGTGTTAATGTTTCTTTTCTTTCAACCTCTATAACACTTTGTACATTTTGTTAAGATATTGTTTGTGCTTTGAAAGCAGAGTATGAAATAAATATATCTATCATGAAAATGCCTTTCTGAGATACTTTCTATCTTCCTACTGCCCCTACCCAACAAAGATTCAAAGGTTTCAGGAGCCAAAACTTTCCTGCTAATGTAGCCGTTTTAGTTTGAACTCTCGCGGCTTTGGCCACATTTCCGGTAATTAAGAAATTTCGATTGCACCAAAACTGCAACTTCAGTTATTAGTACGCCCTCGATTTTCTCGTTCCGCTTAATCACAAAGTGAAACAGTCACGTATTGTAGATGGTTCTTATACAAAATATGTTAGTCAGTCCATCGACGTCGACGTCGTCATTTCACTATCTACTGTCTCAACAGTTTGCACCCCTGCAAGGCGAAGCCATTCGAAATTTTCAGCCGCCCTGTGCTGTGATGCGTGTAGTGACAGAATCTTCCATTTTAACGATTTTCAGTCAGATTAAGTGAGTGAGTGAATTCTTAACGCCATGAACAAATCCCGGGAAAGCCTTGAGGCGAACGCCAAATTGGAAGCGACAGCACAACTGGCTGCGAAGAGAGAAAGTCTCCGAAAAGCCATTGCCGATTTAGAGGCATCTGCCAAGGTAATACACCATACACCACACGCGCGTACAAAAGTTACCACGTCGCCTTTCAGGCATTTTAAAAATGTTTTAGAGTGTGGGCTCATGGCGAACCGGGCTTTATTGATGCAGGAAAAGTGCATGCTGGCTGGCTCGCTGGCGGCCCGCGTTGCCGCCCAGACGGCTGTCCTGGAGACGGAGCGCGCCAAAACGGCGGTACTGCGGTCGACGCTTGAGCGACTCGGTAACGTACTTTCCTCAGCGAGCAGCAAGCGCACCGAGACAACCTGATCGGGCGATGGCGATGTAAGGGAGGCATGCTGCTGTCCGGCACACTGATAGCGAGCAGCGTTCCGTTGCTGTGCCTCTCTGGCACGTCACCCGCCGTGAGTGCGAGAGAGACAGAGCGACGACGCGGTACGACGCGGCGGCCTCACGTGCGGCGCACGCTAACCCACTCGCGCTCCTTGTCTTCCTGGATCATTTTTAAGGGCTCTTCGGGTCCCACTTTCTGCCAGCCGTCGTTCCCCCGAGCTGCCCCTCCCGCGCCGCCCGACCGGCTCGAGACGACGTCGCCGGTCTTGCCGTCCGACGGCGTGGACGTTCGGGGGCCGCGGACGCCAAAGAGCTCCTTGATGTAGTCCAGGCCCGGCAGCCCCGGCAGCCCCGGCAGCCCGAACATCCTGCGGCGCAGGCGCCCCGGAAAACAGACTGTGTCACTTCTCCCTTCCGGGTCTCCGGTTCCGAAAGGAACTCATTCCCAAGCAAAGTGTGGCACTGTGTGTGGGAGGGTCGCTGGTTGCGCGAGCTGCAAAGCGGCTTTCCTTTTGAAATTTTTATTTTCTGTTGGGCTTCCTTGGCGGGGCGTGGCGGGCTGCTTGGCGACTCTACCTGGCGGACGGCTCCGCGGCCGCCGTCGCACCCGGCGCGGCTTCCTCTGCGGCCGGGCCGTCGGTGTGGCCGTCGGTGTGGCCGGCGTGGGTGGTGTGGTGGTGGCCGTGCCGCGAGTGGACGGTGGCGGCGTTGGCGGTGGGCCTGACGCCCGCCCTGGCCTTGCCGACCGTGGCGCCGGCCGCCAGCTGGGTCTCCAGCAGCACGCCGACGAGCACCACCGCGAGCAGCACCAGGGCGCAGCCTGGGGCTCCCTGGGGAAACTCACATTGACCTTCTGAAAGGTACTCCCCGCGGCCAGCCCTTTCAGGCGTCGCAGAAAGAACTGTGACGGAATATTAGAGCGACCCGGGAGACTCACCTTTCGACCTCTCTGCGACACCTGCGCCATCGTGTCTCGCCTGTGCTTTCCCGGCGGGTGTGCCCGGCGTGCCCGGTAGACGACGGGGAGCCGAACCCGCAGTGCCCCCCCCCCCTCCCCGGCCCACCCTGGGCCCGCCGCCCACGCACAGTGATAGCGGCCGAGTACCTTGCTGAGAACACACCTCAGGTGGGCGTCGCGTTTACTCAGTCGGCTAACGCGGCCAACGGAGAGGGTGGGCAGCAGGGCAGGGCCTGGCAGGGCGGAGGGATCGTTCTTAGAAACGGCATTCAGTGGCAGACGGAGCGCCGGCTAAATGGAGCTGCTTGTCTTGTGCGGACAGGCAAGCACGTGTACGCTACCAGTGCGGCAAGCGGCGGAATGATAGTCTGTTTCCTTTTCTTCTAGTTTCAAAGTCCTGCCGCGCTGCGGCTCGTGTTCTAAAATCGACTGGAGCAACCAAAGCTTCGCCGCGGAGTATCCTCCCCTGTCGGGGTATCGCCACTGTGGGTAGAGTTGCCGCCAACGCGGGGTATGTCATGTCGTGTCATGTCATGTCCTCCAGATGCTCTCTCGGCGGCGAGCGCCGGCGCGTCCGGAGGATCACCCGAGCCGTCCTCGCGCGACGCTTGGACGCAGACGGAGGACGACGCGGAGGCCCTGAGAGAGGAGCTGCGGCGCCTACACCAGAAACGCGACGAACTGCTGGCCAAGACGCGCGGCATGCCGAAGGTCTCCCAGCACATGGTGGAGCTGCTCAAGGTAGGACGGGCACACACAACACAGGGCACGGCACTAGCTAATGTCGTGTCGACTTTTGTTTTTGTTTTCCTTGTTTTCAGAAGAGGAACGCGGTCCTGTTGGCTCGCGAGCAGCGCGCCCTGGAGCGCACGCGGGCCGAGCGCCTGGAGAAGGAGAAGCGGGTCGTGGAGCTGCAGGAACGCCTGGCCTTCCTCAGGGCCTCCTTCAAGTAGCGCACGAAGCCAATCTATGCCCTTAATTTAATTTTGCTTAATCTTCCCACAATAATTGTACTCCCACAAGACGGGTGCAGTCTTGAAAATATATATTTTTGTTTTTCAAAGGTAATAAGCCTACCTTTTTAGTTAATGTCCTTTGTCGCGCGCGATGCTGAGTGTTCTACCGCGCGCGGATGGCGGTGCGCGCCAAGGCCCCCTCCTTGACGGGCACGTGGCCCGGCCGGGCCGGCTCGGCGGGCAGGTCCAGAGGCTCCGGCCGCACCAGGACGGCGCGGCCCGTGAGGCGCCCCAGCACGGTGGGCAGCACGTCGCGGCTGGCCCAGGCCGGCGGCGGCGCCCCGGAGGACGGCGGCGGCCCCCTGGCCTGCCAGCACGCCAGCAGGCACTCCTCCGCCAGCACCACCGCCTCGGCGGGGCCGCGTGGCACGCCGACGCCGACCTCGTCCGGAAAGAACTCCCCCGGACTCAGCAGCAGCATCAACACCGACTGGAAGGCAGACCCATTGGGGCGTCGCGGTGGGTGCGAGTGGGACTTGAGTGGGACAGCGACGGAAGGCGGGGGTCAACTACCTGCGGGAACGGCGGGAAGGTGTCGTCGCAGAGGTGCGCGATGGCGGCCGCGGCCCGCGGGTGGATGGCCTGCAGGTCTCGCACCACGGCCACGCGCTGGTCCTCCAGGCGCCGGCTCAGCGCCTCGTACAGGCGCCAGTAGTCGTCGGAGGAGGGGAAGGTGTCTCCCATCACCTCCAGCTCCTCGGGGGACGACGGCATGCCCGGCCACCCGCGAAGGACGGTCTGCCAGATTTCACGATGTCACGCTTGATTGGGTTTAAGACAAAGCGGGCGTTGTGGGCGTCGCAACCTGCACGGCGCGGGCCAGCGCCTGCGCCATCCTGAGCGCGGTGGCCTCGGCGCCGGGCGCGCTCACGAGCAGCAGCACGCAGGGCGTCTCGGGGTTGGCGCGCAGCACGGTGTTGACCCCCGTCAGCATGGTGGTCATGGACTCGGCGGTCTGCGCCGGGAAGCCCCCACTGGAAGCCAAGTCGAGGAACAGTCAGGCTGCAGCTCGCCGCGTGGCGCGTGGGAAACGCAACCCGTCTTTCGTCCTCACCGGATGCGGTCGTCGAACATGGCGAAGAAGACGGCCTTGGGGTCCGGGCGCGCGCGCGCGGCGAGCACCCACGTGATGGCCAGGGACAGGGCGAACATGGCCACGGTGAGCGCGGCGCCGGTCGCGAGCACCAAGGCGACGTCAGAGCCCGACCAGGGCGGCGCCGCGGCCGCGCCATCGCGCGAGGCCAGCCCCCCGAAGCCCTCTGCGTGTTAAAGAGGCCGTCGAGACGGTCGAGACAACGCCCAACAAGTGCATCAAGAGGTTAGGCGTCCGCAGCGCGAGGCACCTGTCTCCGGTCGCGGCAGCAGAGCACGCCCCAGCTCCCGCAGGAAGGCCTTGATGGTGTGCGTCAGTGGACGCATGCCGCCGCCAGGACGCCGTCGTCCCGCCTCTGCCCCTGGTGCCGCCTGCCTCGTCCCCACCCCGGCATGGGCGTAGTTCTGCCATCCTGGCGACGTCCCCGCCTTGCCGCCTGCACTGCCTCGCACGCCGCGCGGCCGCGCCGACAACAATGACTTCTGGAAGGCGGTGCGAGGCGATGGCGGCCTTGCGCTTCGACGTGGACCTGGTGTCGTGGCCCAGCGACAGCGACATGACGGTCATGCGCGTGGGCAAGGAGAGCAAGAGGCGTCGGCTCCGCGCGCCGCCGGGCGGGAGGCTGGGCGACGGCGAGGCCATGCAGCCCTGCAGCCCGTCCCTCGTCAACCTCACCACCACGGAGGAGGCCGAGAGCGACGACGTGCAGCCCCTCACGTCCTGGGTGAGTGCCCCGGCGCGCACCAAGGTTGCAATCAACCCGAAGTAAAAATGAAAAATTCAGCGATTGGGTAGAGACGAAGCGTGGCATAGACCGAGGCCGAGAGCGCCTGCGAGGTAGGCCAGCCGACACTTGTGCGCACCTGTGCGCGGCGGGCCGGCCTACCCACGCTCGACAGGCGCTAGGCCAGGCGCTCCGACTGCGTGTCGCTGTGTCGCGCGGGCCTGCAGGGGCGGGGGTAGGGATTCGAACCCACGTGCTCGTCTTTGTGCTTGCGGCCCGCGGTCTGCGGCCGGCGGTTTGTTACTGTCTCGGCTCGCGGCAAGCCTCCTGGCTGCCTCCAGGCCATGCATGCCGTCATGCAGCGCACCGAAGCTCGTCCGTCACTCTGCATGGTCGAGCTTGCCGGCATTTTTCTCGGCAGGGGGTGTCGCCGTGGGACACCGCGTTGGAGCTCGGCGACGTGCTGCGCTGCTGCCCGCCGCGGCCGCAGGGGCCGGAAGGGGGCGCCGACTGGCTCGCCAGGTCGCCGTCGATGCCCTCCACGAGCAGGGGGCACCACGACGGCCACCTCGACGGGCCGGGCCTCGACAGGGACTCCCCGGCGATCATGCAAGTGTCAAGAAACACAAAAGTACGACAAAATTTTGATCGGTATTTGAACTTCGGACTTTGCGCAGGTCTGACTGTGGGGACGACTGTGCGGCGGTGGCGGTGGAGCCCAGGTCGTCCTGGTGGAGGTCGGCGTGGAGCGCGCTCGCGTGCGCGTTGTGCAGGCGCCCCCCGTCCTCGCGCGCCCCTACATGCGACGCCGTAGTGTGAACCAATAAACGAACGTCGTGCTTTTACTCGCCCGGTTCGACTTTTTCCCGGGGCCATGTCCGCCCCGCCTCCATCGATGGGCGAGTTCCGTGGAATGTCAGAGGTCGTCCCGCCCGACTTGCCAACTTTCTTTCCGCCGAGGACGAATCGGCGACGAGTCATCCGTCGGTCTAATGTATTGGCCGCCCTTGGATGGACGGGCAATAAATCCAAAAGTACCGAACGAGACGTCGCCAAGGCTGGGGGCATTTATAAGAATGCACGCTACCCCGCTCGCTCACAGGACTGATTCTAATCCTAATTTTTGTTTGGAAATTAATTTTTGGGTACGTTCGGGGCGCTGCTGCCAGTGGAGTGCGGCGTCAGTACCAGCTCCGACACGGCCAACATGGCTAACGCCGTCCTGCGACACCCCACTAATCCCCAACTCAAACGCAGTTCAGGGTGTAGCGCCGGAGACGCCAGGGGTGCTTCATCGCTCTGTCTCTCTCGCACCCCCACGGCACGCCGCACCAGTGCGAGAGAGACAGCGCGACGCCGGCGCGCCAAAGGACCGGCAGGACGTCGGCGGGGTGCAACGCAGTTGGCTGCCAATCTGCGCCGCTTTGAAGCTCGTCCACGCCACTGCCGAGGCGAGGCGGGCCGAGGCGGGCCGTCGTTCGGATTACCGAACAAAAGACGCCGTTCAACAAACAACTCGGTGCCAAGCCGGGCGTGTTCCATTTCCCTTTTTGCAAAACGGGAGTTGCGTCACTTGTCGGTCGCCTCGCCCGCCTCGCCGCTGACGGCGCTTGGTGACTGAAATTGCACTGGCCGGGCCGAGAGGGCTGACTCCGAGAGTCGTTTTCGTCGCTCTGTCTCTCTCGCACTCATGGGGCGTCACGCATGGGTGCGAGAGAGACAGAGCGACGAAAACGACGCTCGGAATCAGTCGGGCGGCCAGCACGGCGCGTTATGCATGCAAAATGCGATGCGCAGGTCAAGTAAACACAGTCTCCCGGCTAGCGGCTCCCTCCCCCTCCCTTTCCTTCTTTTGCTTCCCAGAATTCGTTTTTCCATTTTCGCCAGGGCTGCTTTCATATGCTAAGCGCGCCGGGGCTGCCCCTGCTTGCTTGCATTGTTCTCATTAAACCGCCCCCGCGCCAAAACTTGCTGCCCGGATTAAAAAAAAAGCTAAAAAAAAGTTTGGTAGAGGAGATGCTTGGTTGACGTGTAAGGCGGCGGCGGCCTGATTCCGACTCAGCGCTTGTCTCTCTCGCACTCGTGGGGCGTCCCGCACTGGTGGGAGGGAGACAGACAGAATAACAGTGTGCTCCTTATCGTGCCACGTCGTGGAACCTCCAGCCTCGTTCAGCCTCCCCCGCGGAAAGTAAGCCTCGCTGCCCATTACCGAAAAGGCCGCCGATTCGTTGCCGGTGCCGGTAGCTAGGCACGGCTGCAGGGCAGGCAGGGCAGGGCACGGCCTGCTGGGGGTCTCCGTGCGATAACCTTTGAGAGCGTGGCCGTGTCGCCACTACGCCGCGCCCCGCCGCGCCCCCGCTGCCACGATGCTGATTGGCATCGAATCACATCGAGCGACACCGCGTCCGCAGAGTGCCGGACACTCAGCAGCGAGTCGCGACACGGACCGCAACAAACAAGGTGAGTGAGGCAACGGGCACGACACGACGGCAGAGGACTCCGATTCGGAACAGATTTTCACTTGTTTTTATGTTAAATCTGTTAAATTTTTCTGATTAAATTTGTTTATTTTTTAAAAAATTGCTTTTATGTAGTGTTTTACGTAGTTGAGGAACAGAGTCCCGACACGCGCGTAGTGTGCACACTCACATGTAGATGCATGGCACAGGAGAGTGTGTGTGTGTGTGCGTGAGAGAGTAATGTCGCGTCTAATTGAGTCCTTGTGGTGTAGCGGCCTGAATGTCCGCCCCCGCGCGCCCCTTTCCCTTTTCCCCGCTGGTGTGGATGTCAAAGAGACGGGAGGGGAAAAAAAGAGCGACAACTTGATTAGCGGTTTCTAACCCCTCCGGCGGTTTTATAGGGAAATCGGCCAAACGAAATCCCCGGGTGCGTTCCGCGCGCTGGTTGGTCGGCCGGGAGCGAGACGGCCTCGCCAGTGAGTCACCGCCAAGGGCCTAAGTGCGGCGTGACGTCACGGGGATGCGCGCCGGGCGTCGTCGCCTAGTGGGGGCGGCGGCGTGGGGGCAGCGCCGCGGGGGCGGGGGTGGGGGCGGGGCCCCGCAGGGTGCCATCATATATGACAGTATAGCGCAGGGTGCGTCCATTCTTGTTTCTCAGGACTTTTTTCGCAGTGTGTGCGCGCGTAGTGCGTCAACCGCTAATCCTAAAAAAAGGACACGCCACGCCCCGCCACGCCCACTCGGCCCGGCCACCCCTTTTGCACGTGTCTCTGTGTGCCGTGCGCGGTAGCGGCGGCCCCGCTCGTTGAATGTCTACAACTCCCAATAACAGTCTCACCGCTTTCCACGAACTGGAGCGCTAGGCCTCCGCGATTTGGGCCGACGCCGGCAGCCCAATGTAAAATGGAAAGCCTTGTGTTGTTGTCCTCGTCTTTGTATCGCGGGGTTGCGGCATCGCCCAGCATCGGCCGGCATCGGCGAACGCGAGACAACAACAGTGGTGACGCGATTCGCGGATTGCAGCTTATCGAAGGCGATGCGTGGCGATTGCAGTGTAGGGGGCAAGGTCGGCCGGCAAGGCAAGACCGCGAGGGGGCGGGAACGCAGCACTTTCTTCTCTGTTAAATTTTACGTTTTTTTGGCAGCGATTTGGCAGGTATTTCATCGATCTCACGGGGGACGCGTTCTGGACGAGGGATCGGCCCCAGGAACTAGGAACCCCCGGCCGTGTTGACTCTCTTACCCCTGGGGTCACACAGCGTGATTACTAACCCCCTCCCCTGCCCGTGTCGCGGAGGTCGCGGCGACTGCGACACGAGTATGAGAAATTAGCGGTGCGCGTGCAGCCTGTGCAGCCAGTGCAGCCGGCTAGAGGCGGGGCGCGGGCGGAAGAAAGCTCGATACGCTAATTGGAGGACGCCTCCGAGCTGCGATTTCATCGCTCCGTCTCCCTCGCACTCCTACGGCACGCCCCACGAGTGCGAGTGAGTCTGCAGTGCCTGTGCGCTTCCTGCAAACTTCCTGTTGCTTGCAGATGGAGGACTCTGGATCCGGTAGCGGCGCCCCCGGAGACGTCTACCCGTCGTACTCGTCCGCCGTGGAGACAGCCTTCCTGCCCGAGCCGGCGTCCAGGATGGAGCGCCCGGACGGCGGCAGGGACGTCGAGGAGACCTACGACCTGGCCGAGTACGGCTACGGCAAGAACTACGTCAAGGTGCTGAAGGTGCGGCGCGACGGCGACCGCCACCACATCCGCGAGTACGAGGTCAACACGCACCTGCAGCTCGACAGCCGGGAGGACTTCCTGCAGGGCGTCAACAAGCACATCATCGCCACCGACACGCAGAAGAACACCGTCTACGTGCTGGCCAAAAAGTTCGGGGTGAGTAGGCGCGTTCGCAGCTCCGCTTGTGTTCCTCCTTGGCCTGTTTGTTGACGCTCGTTGTCGCCGTGCTTTACAGATCCAGTCCCCCGAGGCCTTCAGCCTGCTGCTGTGCAGCCACTTCCTCTACACGTACCCCCAGGTGACGGAGGCCTCGGTGCACATCGAGGAGTACCCCTGGACCAGAGTCAACAGCGAGGGGCAGGAGCACAACCACGCCTTCGTCATGTGCCCCGTCGCCTACCGGTCGTGCACTGTCAGCCAGCGCAGAAACGGTGAGCACTCTGTCTCCCTCGCACCCAGCGACACGCCCCGTGAGTGCGAGAGAGACAGAGAGAGACTGCTTGGCTGTTGCAGAGGCCCCCCGCATCCGCGGCGAGCTCCACGGCCTCCGCGTGCTCAAGACGACGCAGTCCGCCTTCCGCGACTTCGTGCAGGACGAGTTCCGAACGCTGCCCGACGCCAACGACCGCATCTTCAGCACCATCGTCACGGCCAACTGGCTGTACAACACCGGCACCGTGGACTTCGACAAAGTGTGGTAGGTCCTGGGGACTGGGTCCCGCGGCCCGCGCCCAGTGAGAGTGCGTCGAAACCCGACGCGGCCGGGACAAGGGTCAACACAGACGCGGGAAAGGAATGTCCGAGGAAACCCCACCGAGGCAGTGCGAAGCACTCTCACTCAAAAATAGTTTGGTCATTTGACCGAAACGACGCCTTCATCTGAGCCATCAAATATTCCCACTGGAACCTCACTGCCTCTCGCGGATCGCGTTCTTATGTGAGTGCGCTGTGCGCAGTGGCGCTGGCGGTGGGGTGCGCGCGGGGCCGGAGTTTGGGGCTGGCGCGCGGCGCGCTTGCCAAACTGTCTAATGATGCATATTCAGGCGCGTGTTTGAGCACGGCCAAGCTTCCGCTCACTGCCAGATTTACACACGTCATCACCTCGCCCTTCTCCACGTCAACGAGTCCCACCCGGCCCCGGCCCTCCCAGGGTTCGAATCCGCTCATGCAGTTAAACCTCCCCACGGATTGGGGGCTGCCCTTTAATCCCAGTGTGGGCAGACTTGGCAAACGTTCTTGTTGGATGCGTTACGACACGTGGAAAATAGCTCTGTCTCTCTATCCCTCCCGTCGCCCACCGCAGCCTAGCCGGGCTGACTTCCCTGAATGGCCTGAATGAGGCATTGGAGGGGGAAACGTAGTTCGGCTTGCACTGAATGGTCTCAATTTTGCAGGCACACCGTCAAAGAGTGTATCCTGGAGAAGTTCGCCGGCGAGCCCAAGAAGGGCATCTTCTCCCCGTCCGTCCAGAACACGCTGTACCTGGCCGCCAAGATGGTCCTCGATCGGGTGGAGGAGGTGGGTACCTCGGCGACCGTTTTCAACTTCGCCACCCGGAGCCGGCGGAGCGTGACACTCTCCCTGTTTCCAGATCGAGCGCGTCGAGATGCAGATGCCCAACAAGCACTACAACTCCCTGGACCTGTCCAAGTTCACGGCCACCATCAAGGGCGGCAGCGAGAACGAGGAGGTGTACCAGCCCGTGGACAAGCCGGCCGGCATCATCCACGCGCAGCTGGAGCGCAGCAACAAGGAGCTGGCGTCCAGGCCCCGGCAGGTGTTCCGCCGCCGCGCCAAGCTGTGACCCCACACTGTATTCATTAGAAACTTGTAATTATTTTTTTTTTAATAAAACGGTCTTGCTTGTGCGCGCCTCTTTTTAACTGTCCCGACTGACTGACACGCTGTGCAATCGACGCGGACATGGGCTCGCTACTGCCAGTGGCTGTTGTTTCTTTTTCACTTGCGACTACTTTTTGTTTACTCGTTTAGTTGTCATTGGATCGGAGTCAATTCCAGCAGGCGGATTCCGGACGGACCTTCGTCGCTCTCTCTCGCTCTCGTGGCGCGCTCCGGCGGGAAGAGGGAGAGAGAGCGACGGGTTCGGAGTTAGCCTGCAGTGCGCTTGTCCACTTGGGCGTCGCAAAGGACAGCCCTGCCAATCACAACAGCGTCGAGATTAAACAGAACGAGGAACATTGTCCCCGAGGCAGCGCGATCAAACACTGCTGACATTTCCATTTTTTTTTATTATTTTGTTTGGAAAGCCTGTGTCCATTGAAAAGACGTTCTGATGAGATCCCCCTCCCTCGCCCCCTGCCGCTTGTTTATTTGATGTAAGGCTTTTATACGTGCTTTTCGGATACGTCGTACAGCATTTGATCTCCACTGCCGGCGTCTTACGGCTCCATTTTATGCTGCCCCCCACACGCGCGGCCGCGCTTTCACAAAGCTCCCTTTTCCCAGGCAAACAGTCCTTTCCGTTGATTGAAGAGAGCAAACAACATACACACATAGGTTGGCGGAAAGGTGCACGGAGAGCAGACGGCATACAGCAAAGAGAGCAGCGAGGAGGAGGGAGAGAGAGAGAGAGGGGGGGGGAGGAGAGTGTCTTGTCGGAGAGCGAGCGCCAAGCCCCGACGTGTGTGCTCAGGGCGCCAAGATCCTTCGACTGTATCGGGACAAGAAGATAAACCGGAAATTGGAAAAGGCACGTCTATGTCGATCAGTCTGATTGATTTGACACGAAGGGCGAGTTGCGCAGTTTCGGATTCACCTCGTCTGGTTCTGACTAACACAGTTCGGAGAGGGAAAACTCTCAAAAGGTGGGATTGGACGCGGTGGCCGCTTAAAGTCAACCCAAACCACAATTTCTACATCACTCAACGATTTTTTTGAAGACGAAAAAAATTTAAATAATCTTTTTTATTTTTGTTTTTTGGGTGAACCGTCTAACAGCGAACGTCGATTTGCGTGCCGCCGATCCCAGCTGCAGGGTGTCGACGTCGACGCGGCGGTCGGTTTACGAGGTGCCACACTGTATCCGTCCGATATTCCTGCATGACGCGCTGGATGTGGGTGGCGGCGTGGCGCGGTGGCGGGCGCGTCCAATCTGCCGAGCATCTTCGGAATGCCAGTCCAAAGCCGGCGGGCGGTACTCTGTAAGCGCACCGTGCCTCGCGGCGCTGCGTCGCCGAGGCGTCAATACTCGCGTGTTGACTTTGAGGGTGAAACCAGAGAGAGTGCGGGCTGGCCTGGGCAGGCCTGGCTCGCGGCACGCGGCACGCCCACGCAGTATCCCAGGACTCGGACTCGAGTCACCGCCAGTGCAACGCGCGCACGCCGCGCGACCTCTCGACACCATGGCGCCGTCGTCGTGCGGAGTCCTCGCGGCCGCCGTGCTGCTGGCCGTCACCTTGCGCGGGGTCTCCTCCGCCTGCGGGGGCTGGCAGCCCGTGCTGCGGCCGGCCGTGGGCACCGCCGTGGCCGCCAGGCACCTCAACGACACCGTGGACGCCGTGCAGCAGGACGTCAAGGCCTCGGTAAGGCGGGACTGGGCGGCCGCGCCGCGCTCACCAAGGCCGCGGCCTCCTCAAAGGAAGGCAGGTGCTTGTACGAGTGCCGCACCCCTGATTAATCACCCGGGGCGCTGAGTGGCTGCAGGCTGCTTCCGAACTGTGTCGCTGTCTCTCTCGCACCGCTGCGGGACGCCCCACGAGTGCGAGGGAGACAGGCGGCCGGCCCGGGCCGCGCCATGGCGCCATGACGATGAAGGCCATGACGCAACACCCTCAGCACAATCGGCGGCACTTGCGCGGGATCAGCCCTGACGGATGTAGAGGCGCAGCGCCACTCGGTGCTGCCGGGTTCTGGCCGCGCAGTTCCGGGAAAACACTCCAAGGCACCATTTACGAAGGAGTTCGCTTCATTCCAGGACTGCCCGGAGTCCGGGACCATGGTGATGCGGACGCCAGTGGTCAAGCTCCGGTCGGCTGGCGGGGGCGGGGGCGGCGCGGGGGGCGGCCACTGCTCGTGGGAACTGCGGCTCCCCGGGGGGCGGCGAGTTTGCCGCCTCCGAGTGGCGCTGCTGGCCTTGCGACTGCCCTGCGGCCGGGGCGCGCTCCGGGTCGGCAACGAGCTCCTGTGCGGGGGGCACTTGGGGGCCAGGACACTGCACCTCCCCGCCGACACCAGGGCCGTCCCCGTGCACTACAGGTGGGGCCCGATTTGTAATGAGAATAAGAATTTGAATTTACACTCCCGGTTGACTTGGTCTTTATCGATGTCAATAAAACCGTGTTGCAGCTCGGTGTCCCCCAACGAGGACGACTTCGAGGCGCTGCTGCGACTGGAGGCCTGCGACGAGGCCGGCGTCGACGCCGTGGCCGAGGCCACGACCGCCGAGGGCAGGGTGGTGTCCGACGGCGACTGCGGCGGGCTGTTCCCCGTGTCGCAGGGCGAGCCCGTGGGACTGCTCAGCCCAGGCTACCCCGCGCGCTACCCGCACAACAAGAACTGCCTGTTCGTGCTGGAGCAGCGCCCCGCGACCAAGGCCGCCGACGGCGACGCCGCCTGCTTCCTGGACCTGGACTTCGTGGACTTCCACCTGGCCTCGCCGTCGGCGAGCTGCGGCGCCGGGGACCGCCTGCTGGTGGAGGGCGTGGAGGGCGCGGCGGGGGGCGTGGGGGTGGCGTTCTGCGGCGAGCGGTCCGGCGTCACGCGACTGCCGCTGCTGCCGCCCGCGCCACCAACGCGCGGGCAACCTGGAGAACGCGGACAACAGCCCGGCGTGCGAGTCCGCTTCCTCTCGGACGCCGCCGGTACCGCCGCCGGCTTCCGCGTCCTGGCCACCCTGAGCCCGTGCCAGCACGGCCAGCACCGCGACCAAGAGCGCAGGGAGCCGCTCATGCCCGCCGACATGAAGGGCCTCAGCGGCCACGGCAACGACTCCAGCTCCGGCAAGAGCCTGGCAGGCATTGCGGGCATCGCGGGCCTCGCCAGCGCGTCGCTGGGCCTCCCCTTCCCCGCCTTCCCCGCGTACCCGGCGCAGCTGCCGCAAGTGAGTCGGCCTTGTTTGCGCAGTGCTTGTGCTGCTTGTGCTGCCTGTGCTGCCGGCAGTCTGTTTGGCTGCGTCCCCCTCGCACTCGCGGGGCGGCCCGTAGGGAGCGAGAGAGACAGAGCGACTCGGCGCAGCGCTGCGAAGGGCCGGGAAGGATGGAGGATCCGCCGCGCGTCTGTTTGGCTTGATAGTAGGCTCGCTCTGCTGTACCCGGCTGCAGGCTGATTCCGAACGGCGCTCTCTGTCTCTCTCGCACTCGCGGGGCGCGCCGTCGGTGTGCGAGAGAGACAGGACTTGTGTGTGCCGCTTTGATCAAGGCGCATCCAATTTCCTGCTCCAAGTTTGTTCGCTTCGTTCCGCTTTTCGGCCCCACAGTGCTGCGGCCGCGTCCACGCCGGGCCCCAGCTGTTCCTGACGAGTCCCGGCTTCCCCAGCGGCCTGGCCAGCGGTTGGTCCTCGGACTGCGTGTACCCGGTGGCCAGGCAGCTCCCACAGACGTGCCGCCTGCGCCTCGTCCTCCACCACTTCCTGCTGCTCGGCACCTGCGACAAGCACTTCCTTGAGGTCGGCGGCCGCCGCCTCTGCGGCTGCCAGAGCGGCGCCCAGATCGTGTCTTACTTCAGGTTCGAAAAAAAAGGAAAAAAAATTAAATAACGAAAACTCAATTGCAGCCGCGGGGAGTCGAACCCGCGTGAGACGCTCTTGTTTGTGTTCCAGGCCCGGTGAAGTGACCCAGCTGCTGAGGTACTCGCGCCACTTGCTGTCGACGGGCGCCTTCATCATAGAGGTGCGCCAGGAGGGCTGCGGCGCGCCCGCCCTGCCCGGCGGCGGCTTCGGCGCCCCCGGTATCCCCGGCGGCTACCCTGGCATCCCTGGAATTCCAGGGCTGCCGTGGCGCGCTCGCAGTACAGACGCATCCAACGGGTACGTCGACTTTTTGTACACGTATTGCCGTCGCTGTTGTTTCCGACCAACCGGAACCTGATTCCGGTACAGGATCAAAGCCTGTTCAAGGTTCAAAGGCTGGACTTTCGACGCGCGACTCCCTTGCAGTTTTCTTTCAAACTCTCGACTCTTTCCTCACTGTTGACGCAAACAATCTCTGTCCAGGCGCGACGCGTCCCCGTCCAGGAACGCCACTTCCGCCAGCGAGAGGTCCGGCCTCGTGCGCTTCCCGGACCAGGCGGAGTCCCAGGACGGCGTCCACGGCGTGCCGGGGGACGCGAAGGGGGACGTGAAGCAGGACGAGGACGTGCCCCAGGACGCGGGGCAGCGCGGCGGGGCTGCTGCCGTGACGGCGAGCGCGGCGCTGCTGCTGCCCGTGTGCGGCGCGCCCTCCTACAAGGACTGGCTGGCGGGCGCGGCGGCCTGGGCCGGCACCGTGCCCTCGGCGCTGCTGCAGTGCCCCGTCGGCGTCTTCCCCTTCGCCAAGTGCCGCGAGCTGCGCGCACTGGCGGGCGTCTTCACCTCGCCGCGGTACCCGGACCCCTACCCCAACAACGCGCGCGTTTGCTACCGGTGAGCAGCACAACTAGCTTCCAAAGTTTAACTTTTTAAAGTTTTGGTAAGTAAAATCCATTATTCTTTGCTTTATCAGGTTCCCCCGGTACCCGGAGCAGTGCAGTCTCGAGGTGACGTTCCTGGACTTCGACCTGGAGCCGTCGCCGACCTGCAACAAGGACTACGTGAGCTTGGGCGGCGCCACGCGGTACTGCGGCAACACCCTCGCGTCGACCTTGGGTGGGTTTTGACCACTCGCTGGCGTGGGTTCGACTCCCGGCGACCACCTGCTAATTTTTTAGCAGATGATACCTTCACACTTGAAACATACTTAAAACTACTATACACATGAAGGTGTCAGCGTGCTTTTACTCTCGAGTCCAGAAACGAAGCGCGTATCCTAAACAATATAATAGGGGCTGGCTGCCGGGGCGGGCTGGTGCGTGTGTCTGGCAATGAGGCGCAGCCTGCGCGGAATTCGACAATCCCTCCTCGGTACAGCGCCAGCGGCACCAGGCGTAAACAATGGCACCCCCTCCTCGCTCGTGACGGCCTACGCGCAACATTGACAATCCCTCCCCGCCTGCCACGGCGCGGAATATCGCGCAACAATACCTCCCGATTCGGCCCGGCCCGGGGCACTCATCGGGCCAGCTCGGGCTCGGCGGCGGGCGGTGCAGGCCACAGCTCGGCACGGCTAGTACCAACACCGGCCACCTCGCTCGGGTCTATATATTTTGTTTCATACACAATTTTAATTACTATCTTTGGAATGAGCCCGCATACTACCCCGTATAAGGAAACCAAACGAGTATTAACCGAGAAATTTGAAAGGGAAAAGAAAAAATTTGAACTCTACACCCCCTCCCCAGTCTTAATGGGGAGGCCTCCTGCTTTACTTCGGTGTTCGGGATGGGAACCGGTGCTATCAGGTACCTGGGGTTAATCCCGTCAGCGACCCAAGCGTTCGCCGGGGGACCCAGTAGGACCCCAAAGCTCAGGCAGCTGGGTGAGAGCACCCAGTACGAAGCTCTTTGAGGGGCGGGACGTAGAGTGAGACGACAGAGAGACAGAGAGAGACTCAGACAGAGAAGAGGTTTGGTGGGAGCTTCTTGTTTTCGTAGGGTTGGTTGTGTACCCCATGGTACCCCCACTGTCCGGCGCTCCCGTACCGAACATACAGCGTTTTAGGCCAGCTTCAAAGGACTTATCATCGCCTCCCCGACGAGTCAAGGAGGCACCACCCGCAACCACACACCGGATGGTCTGGATTGATGGATCAAATACTCCATCGCTCCAGTGCCGAGGCCAACCCGCCGAAGCGGATTGCTTTTTAGACACCCACAGCGGAGTGGCCAGGTGAATGTGACTCTGACCACTACGCTATCACGCTTGTACGTCTGGCAGCGTGTTGGACGACGGGTTTGAGTTGCACTGGGAGGAAGGCGGTCGAAAAATGTAATGAAATGATGGGATTCGATCCCCGGACCCCGGCATCGGGATCACACGACTTTACGCTCTCGGCCACCACGGCTCATGATGAGGGGACCGGCGTGAGGTGGGTTCTTGACGCAACAGGACTCGACCGACCCGGTCAAAATTTCGCAAGAAATTGTGGGAGTCGAACCGCCGACCCTAGCACTGAGAACCGACGCCTCTACTCCCTGGACCACCACGTCCCATGCTCGAAGTGGGCTCACGTTCACGGGTTTGAACCGCTCTGGCTGAGGCAGTAAAATTAAATGGAAATATTTGTTAGGAGTCGAACCTCCGGCATGTGGGCCTGTTGCACACGGCTCCGCTCTCATGGCCTCGAACCACCACCCTTAGGATAGCAAGTCGAAAAAACTTTCGTGACGCTGGTATTCGAACGCCGGCCTGCGGTAACTCGATCCCACGTCTCTAACCTCTCGGCTATCACAGCAGTTGTGAAAGGCGACGGATCATCTGCTTTCATTAACGTTCGTTGAATGAGATTTTTTTCTCTCTTTTTTTCGCAGTGATGCTGAGCTTCCAGGACAGTCAGTACGTGGACGTCCTGTTCATCAGTGACAACGCCATCAACGGCAGGGGTTTCCGGGCCAACTTCCGGCAGCTGCCCTGCACACCTGTGGCGGGGCCGGTGGGGCCGGTGGGGCCGGTGGGGCCGGTGGGGCCCGTGCCAGGAGTCCTTGCGGGCGGCGTTCCGCCAGGGCTTCCCGGAGGCCTTCCCGGAGGCCTTCCCGGAGGGGGTGCTCTCGGGCCGGGTCCTTACGGCGGGGTACTCGCGGGAGTCCCGGGCGCTTTCATCGGCCGCGATGCGCTCGGGGGCGGGGCTGCCGGGGGTGTGTTCCCGTCGTTCCCCGCGGACCCAGCGCTGTTCCCGCGTCCCCGGCCCCTGCCCGTGGAGCAGGCCGGTCCCTACCAGGACTCCGGGCAGCCCGAGCGGCCGCCGCTGTACCCGGAGCCGACGACGCCGTCGTCGCCACGGACGCCGCCGCCGCCGCCAAGAACGGCGCCGCCACCGACCGCCGTCTGCGGCGGCGACGTCAGGCAGCAGCAGTTCGCCTTGAGCTCGCTGGACGTGGCGGGCCACCCCGAGTGCGAGTTCACCGTCAGGAGGGTCAGCGAGGTCAGGCGCGAATTTTTCTTCGAAATCAAACTTGGCGCCGGCCGAAGCTCATGACGCTCTGCCTGTTCCAGGACATCTGCGGCCTGCAGGTGCTCGTCGAGCGCATGGCCCTGGACTGCCAGCGCGAGCACGTCGTGGTGGGCGGCAGCACACTGTGTGGACAAAAGCTGGCGGGGCGCACGGGTACGGTACGGTGTGGTGACCGCGTGACCGCGTGGTGAGGGGCGCCCTCCCCTTTAAAAACTGCCTCAGTAGCGGATGTAATAGTGGCGCAGGACGGCGCAGGAAATGAGGCGCCGAGCCGTCCAACCCATCCATCCCCGCCACCCCTTTCGGCAGAACCCGCAGAACCACAGAACAAAATCGACGTTAATCATTAATAATCATGTTTTAAATTTGAGAATGCAGAAGTTTTACTATCTCAGTCCTTGATATCGGGAAAGAAACACAATAAGTATTCCAACTGTCAGTTGGCAGCCGGTTTCAAAACGTCGACGCCCACACTCACATTTTTTTTAAAAAAGCCTTTTTTTGCCTCTGGCCACTCGGCACTCTTTTCGGCCCGGGTAGTGTTATCTTTCATTATTAAGATCCCGGCTTCCTTCCACTCCGGTCTTGAAAGGTCCTCCGAGATTAACGCCCGGGCGTGAGGCCGGGCGAGGCGGGGCGGGGCGGGGCGGGGCGGGGCGGGCCTTTCTCGAACAGCGAGGGGGAGAAAATAAAGAGAGCCGGGCGTTCGGTTTCGTCTCGAAAAGTCGAAAGGCGTAATCTAATGTGGCGGCCGATCTGCGCAGTGACGGTGGACTTCCTGGGCGACGCGGTGCGGATGGTGTACCAGGGCTTCGCCGAGGGGGTGCAGGCGGCGCAGGCCGACTTCCTCATCCACGTGCAGCAGGTGGCGGACTGTCTGGACTGTGAGTGTCCAAATCGTCTTCGCCATGCAAACAAAAACAACAGAACGACGACGACTGTTGTCTTCTTTCCAGTGGACGTGACGCCGGTGGCGCGCTTCGGCAAGGCGGCGCCCGATGACGTCAGCGAGTGCGTCGTCGTCCTGGACGGCGTGCTCGGCCACCTGGAGGCGCCCGCGCTGCAGCCGCGGTCGCCGCACCACCTGTCCTGCAGCTACGTGTTCCGGCGGCGGCCCGGTGAGTCCCGGGAGCGGACTGTACCGCTGTGCGCACAAAGAGGTGACTTCCGGTTCCGGCAATCCGGGGCCATGCCATCTGCGGAGGCCTCGCTTTAAATGGGGCCGATTCGCGGACCGGGAGAGGGACTCGGGGACCGGGCTAATCTTGTAAGTGGCTGATAATGTTAATGGTGGAGCGGCAGTGGGAGGTATAGAAGGCGGTCCTCCTGGCGGGGCGGGGCGGGGCGGGGCGGCACTTGTCGCTGCCTTGCCAAGATTTGGCGCATTCTGCTCATTCATCCCCTGACGCCGCTGCCGCCCGTCTCGCTCCTATTTTTCCGCCACTCCCACGCCACGCCACTGTGCCATGGCTGTGCCCTCGGCCGTGCTGGCCCCCGGCCTTTCATCTTTCATCTTTCGCAGCGGCGCCGAAAAAAAATCCAGCGAACCACTTTTGCCGCTTTACTTTCAGGTCCGACGCAAATGCCCGAACTAGCTCGGACAAGGCGTTCGCAAGGCGGGGCATATGGAAGAGCACGGTCTTTAAACAACTTCAGCGTTGGGAAAGAGCCTCAACCGCAGCTGGATTGTACGCAGTGGCCGCACAAATTTGCATAGTCCATCGATTTGTCGACATTTTCTTGGGGAGCGGTCTGGGACTCGGGGCCGGGCCCACCGCGCTGTCCCCCTGAGTCACTTCCTGGGCACCGCGGCACCGCTAGGCCCGCCTGCCTTGTGTCATCCGGACCGCCTCTCTTTGCTTTGCCCGGTGACCTCGCGGTGGAAAGTGAAAGGTGGGGACGCGCGGCGCCATTTATTTAGAGGTGGGTCTCTCCTTTCCGGAGAAGAAGGAGAAGGCGGAGAAGCGGCCACTTTGCTACTTTCCTCACCCCTGACTGGCTGCCCGCCTGGCTGCCCGCCTGCCTGGCTGCCCGCCTGGCTGCCTGCAGGGCCCCTCCAGGGGCGCCGGGCCGGGGGGTGATGACTTTGAGATTATGTTTTGACTGCGCGGCGAGCGGCGCCCTGCAGGCCCTGGGCCGCAGGCAAGGCCGCAGGCCGTAGGCACCTGGAACTCCAGGACCTCCAGGGCCGGCAGGTGCCGGCAGGGTGCCGCTGCCACTCAGGAGATGAAAAGGCTTCAACCCCTCCCCCGCTCGCGCCCTATGGAAGGTGTGAAAACCTGTACCTCTTCTTTTTCCCTCCCCTCCCTCCCCCGCGCCTCGTTCCATCTCGTCTGGAGTGGGGGCGGAACCTCGACAGTCTCTGGAGTAGGCCACTTGAGTGAAAGGGGAGGGGAGGGGAGGGGGGAGACACCGCCCAGTGGGCCTGCACGGCCTGCAAGCACCGCGACACAGCGGCTCAAGGGGCGTCGATCGCGTCTCTCTCGCACCCCTGCGGGACGCCCCGTCAGTGCGAGAGAGACAGAGCGGCAGCTGCAGCGGGCAGGGAGCCCCGTCAAGTGCGCCGCGGGAAACTACAGTCGATCCAAGTTATGCAAACGCCTCCCTCGGTGACTAACAGGTCTTTCCGGGTCTTTCCGTTTTCCGTCGCGGTGACTCGCGAGCGCGGATTACGCCGAGTGATTCCGAAAGCGAGTCGCCCTGTCTCTCTCGCCCTCTGGAACGAGCGAGCCCGCTGGCCTTTGAGACTTTGAGTGGCGAGAATGAAAGGCAGCGAACCGGTTACGGGATTTCCTTTCCGTCCGCGGTTTCCACAAATCGGCCGCACGCAACGCACCGCTCAAGTCGCCAACAATTAAACGGTCCGACAACAGGAGTGACCGCCATGGCCGCGGCCGCGCTGCTTGCTTTGGACTGATTGCTTTCGGCGCGAAAAAAGAGAAAAAACGGGGGGAAGAGAGAGAGCGTCCGCTCTTTTACCTCCCCCATCACGCACCAGTGTTCCAGCGGGAGTGTGTGTTTGTGCGCGCGCGTGTGGGAGTGGGTGCGAGTGAGAGAAAAGAATGAAGAAGATCGTGCTTAAGCGTTGGTGTGCCCCACGTGCAGTGCGATTGCGAAACTGCTGTCTCTCTCGCACCTCTAGGGGCCCTGCGGGTTGGCGCACGAGTGCGAGTGAGACAGAGCGACGCCACCACGTTTCGGCCTCGGCCTGCCTGGCGCTGGCCCTTTGTGCCCGCGGCGGTTCGAACAGCAGGCTGATTCCGAGAGTCGTCCTCGCCGCTCTGTCTCTCTCCCACCTATGCGGCACGCCCCATGAGTGCGAGAGGGACAGCGCGACGCAAACGACTCTCGAAATGAGTCTACAGGGTGGAGGCGGCTTCGGCGGAAGCCAAAGGGAATTTCGGTTGGCCGGCTTGACGGCTGTCCGGGCCGAACGGGTGCTTTCGTCGCTCCGTCTCTCTCGCTCGCGTGGGGCTCTCCGTGGGTGTGCGAGAGAGACGGCGCTGGCGAGGGCTGCTCGGAGTGGGCCTATCTTGTCCGTTCCAGTCGAGCGGCCCCTGCACCTGGCGGCCCCATTCTCATTAGGGGAGAAAAGCAGAATGCCGATTCCGATGACGGTGACGGGGACGAGGAGGATGGCGACGAGGACGGCGACGAGGACGGCGACGAGGACGGCGACGAGGACGGCGACGAGGACGGCGACGAGGACGGCGACGAGGACGGCGACGAGGACGGCGACGAGGACGGTGACGAGGACGGCGACGAGGACGGCGACGAGGACGGCGACGAGGACGGCGACGAGGATGGCGACGAGGACGGTGACGAGGACGGCGACGAGGACGGCGACGAGGACGGCGACGAGTGGCCGAAGAGGCGATGACTTTTAACGGCGACACGACACGCGCTGCTGGTGGTGCTGCTGCTGGTGGTCATCGTGCTCGCCGGCGTGGAGGGAGTGGAGTGGGAGGCCCACCGCCACTTGGGGATTCTTTTGATCGCCGGCCGGCCGGACTGTCTCCGCCGCTGCTGGACCCACAGACCAAACCACCGACCCGGAGTCCTGTGCACTGTACGCTCGCCCGGGGCACTGGGCACTGGGCTGGGCACGCTTCGAGCTCCGTCGTTCTTCTAAATAGGTCTCGAACCAACTAGGGCCAATCGATTGCCCTTCGAATGGGGAAGCCACTGCCAGCCCTCTCGTGTTTGATTCGAGGGCGGAGCATCTAGAGGCCTGGCTAGAGGGACACGGATATAGGAGCGAGAGGTCCGAGATGGCCACTAGCAGCGTAGCGTCAGCGTCGCGCGGCCCGACCGCAGTTCTTACAAAGTGTCTCGGCATCGCGTTGCAGCGCGGCGCCGGGGTCGTGTTCATCGGTGTCCTGGACCGCCCCGGTGCCGGGCCGGGGTAATAAGCCTCGGAGACATAATGCCCCAGGCTCGCTGCAAATCCTCGTGTGCGGGGCGGGGCGGGGCGGGGCGGGGCGGGGCGGGCTTTCTGGAATTTAATAATCAGCCGCAGTAACAATCCTCGGTTAAGGGGCCCGTCCCCGCACGAGGTCCTTTTGGGGGTGGGGGTGCCTGTGGAGAGAGGTCAGACCAAGCGGTCGTTTAGGGACGCGCCCTTATGAGGAAGCGACGGAGGGAGAGGCGTACTCTGACACTGTAATCACGGCCTCCCCGTTTTGTTTTTCAGGCCGCTGCGTGCTGCGACTCGACTTCCACGACTTCGCCATCGCGTCCGGGCCCGAGTGCACCGAGTCCTACCTGGCGCTGCGCAACCACAAGTACTGCGGCACGGACCTCGCGAGGACCACTCACGGTGAGGAGGACCGCCAACTTCACGTTGCTCTTATTTTTTCAGTAGTGTGGCTGCGCAGTTTAGTGGTCAGAGCTCGGGTCAGAGTCACAGTTGACGCGGCAACGGTCCTGGCCGTGTGTGCGTGTGTGTGTGTGTGTGTGTGCATGTGCGCGCGCTTTAAGCGGCTTACAGCCTCCTGGCCGGTGCCGATCGCCGCTGGCTTGGTTTGCCGACGGCGGCGTGCTCATCAAAAATAATTGCCGTCCCGGCCCGGTCTTCCCTTTGTTTGGGTGCGCCTTGGCCCCGCTCGGCCCTATGCTTGCTCATGCCCGGCCGGCCCGGCCTCACCGCGTGTGGTTTGTGGGCGATATTGCTCCGCCACTGTGGACGCGCGACGCGGCGGGCGGCCCTGCAGGCTGATTCCGAAACACTGGCTTCGTCGCTCTGTCTCTCTCCCACCCCTACGGACCACCCCGTCAGTGCGAGAGAGACAGAGCGACGAGAACACTGTTCGCAATCTGCCTGGCTGACCCGCCTTTGTGTTGGTGCGGCCTCCCCGGCCCACAGTGGGCCAGAAGACCGGCGGGGGCGGACAAAACTCTAAACGCGTTTTGGGCTCCAGAGTCGCTGGACAGGCCTCGAACCGAGCGTGTGACCCCACCAATGGCTTCCTCGTTCGGAGAGCAATCCATTGATGGGGTCACACGTTCGGTTCGAGGCCTGTCTAGCGACTCTGGAGCTCAAAACGCGTCTAGAGTTTTGTCCGCCTCCACCGGTCTTCTGGCCCACTGTGCGGCCCGACCGCACCGTGATGCCGGGCGATTTCGGGCCAGACACCCCGCGGGCTGCCTCCGGGCGGCGCTCCGTCTCTCTCGCACTCGCAGGCCGCCCCGCAGCGGCCGGCGCGAGAGGGACGGAGCGCGACGGTTCGGAGCCGCCCCGAACGGAGATGGCGGTATTAATTGGCGCCGTGTTGACCTTGACAGGCCTCAGCTTCGCCGGCGCCACCATCGAGCTGCCCTACCGACTGCACAAGGACGTGCCCTCGGCCCGCTGGAACGTCTCCTACGCCCAGCTGCCGTGCTGACTCCGCTACACTGCAGCCGATGTTTTCAGTATTTATTGATTCCTTCCTCTTTCTATGAAAGAAAATTATGAAGAAAAATACAGAGCGAGTGCTCGACGTTGTAAATATCTCATTGTAAATTTTCTCGAATAAAACAAGTATTTTCTTACACTTCTTGTCGGTTTTGATTCAGCTTTCCCTTTTCCACTGTACTCACTGTAGTAAATGACTTAGTGCCCGACGGACTAAGGGTTGAAAAAGAACTCCAGTACTCCAGTTTTGTCTTGTGTAATCGTCATACAACAGGGTTTGAAGCTCGGGAAGGACGGAAGGAAGTCTCCACGTTCAACAGCAGCTACAAACATAACACTTTATTGCATCAGCAGGTCACACCAAGTAATCCTCTTTTTGCCTCTGGGTTGATTCAACAACGTCGTCCCTCTTACAATCGTAATGATAATAATAATAATGATGATTAATAGTAGACAATAAATAATAAGTTAAAGCACGTTCCCCCGAACCATCATGCATCTCAATCGTTAGCCAAAACGTTTTAGATTTTGCTCCAAAGTTCTATTTTGGTAAGTGTTTCTTTTCTCAATTTTCGTTTTGAACATGCCGACATGAAGGCAGAAGGCACAAGCGGGAGGGAACTGAACATATGTGCAGCACTAACAATTTTAAAGGGAAACTCGCCGTGTTTCGAATCTAAACTTACAAGATATATTCAAAATATAGTCACAGTTGATATTTTTAAAAAAATCAGTCTAGAGTTAAAATGAGGTTTGGCAGCGTACTACAACTATCTCTGATTCAGAGACGGGCACCGAAGTGGCCTTGACACTTCTAAGCACCTGAAGAGCGAAGCGTTGAGTTAAAACTTATAAACTGCTAGAAGATAATTTACGAGGTTTCCCTTAAAGTACCAACTCAGTTCTGCCGCCGCCGATCGCGGCATGCGGCTTTTATTTTACTTTTAGGAGCTTGATCTTGTTCGCTCCGATCTAGAAAGAGCCTTCTGAGCAGGAAAATAAAGCGTCTAAGTTGTTCTTCACTACGGATTTTAACTCTAAGGAAAAAATTATAAGGATAGTCGTGCCTGCTTCTCACCCACCCCCAACATTGACACTTTATTTAAGGATTGCTAACTAAGTAAACACATAGCATCAACGCCAAAGTGGACCCGTCCCGCTACATCGGAGAGCGGTGTCCAGGTTGATGACGATCATTCCAAAACAACAACCAAAGTCATTTAAAACGATCCTCGAGGGAGTTTAGAGACATTTGCGGCGCTTGACGAAAAGAACAACCGTGTGACCATCGATTCAACTCCTGTCCTCTGCTGCTTCTCCCCTCGGCACCCAACTTGGAAACGAAAACGACACGCTGATATGACTCGCTCTACAGACTAAAAAAAGAAAACAACAAAAAAAACGGATGTTTCCTCTGCATCGCCTCGCATTCTCCGCCCCACCGCGTTGCCCCAAACCCCGAACATGACGCCCAGCCCGGCGGCCCTCCCTTAGCCGATGAACCGGATGTTGGTGAACACGGACGAGGCCGGCCGCTTCCGGTTGCAGAAGTTGATGGTGCGGCCGGTGTCGCCCTCGCGCGCGCGGTGCAGTCCCACGAGCAGCTGGATGACGTCCTCCCTGGACGGGTTGCACATGTAGAGGTCCGGGTCGTAGGTGCCGCGGTTGCGGGTGACGCGCTTCCACGGGTAGCGGCGGTAGTAGCGCGAGCGCTTCACCGGCATGGCGTCCAGGGCGTTGTCGGCGTCCTCGGCGTCGTCGGGGTTGGGTCCGGGGCCCGGCTGCACCGGGCGGCCGCCGTCCTGGGGCTGCTCCACGTACAGCAGCGGCATCTTGTTGTCCTGCCAGGGGTCCTCGCGGATCAGCTCCACCAGGTAGTCGCGCACCCACTGCAGCTCCGAGTCCGTCATGGCCGCCAGCGGCACGCCCACCTCCGGGACTCCTGCCGACCAGAGACACCAACATTGGCTTTTTTGCAGTGTGCCATGGCAGGGCGGTGGGCCGGCCGGGCCTACAGCCTCATCACTTTATTGACGCAGCGTGCTCCAGCGCCGGCCGGCCGGGCCCCGCGGCGACGCCGGACATCGATTAGTTTCCTCGCAACGGTTCGACAAAAGTCACTCCAGAAGTCGCTACAGAGTCGTTGCAGAAGCCACTACAGAGTCGCTAAAAATTCGCTAAAGAGTTGCGATATAAAATTCCAAAAGTTCATACAGATACGCTCCAAAAGTCGCTCCCAAAAGTCGATCCAAAAAGTGGATCTAAAAGTCGATCTAAAGATCGATTCAAAAGTCAATCCCAAAGTCGATCCAAAAGTCGATCCAAAAGTCGATCCAAAAGTCGATCCAAAACCTCACCTCCGTTGGCCTGGGCCTGCTCGTGGACGACGGGGCCGGCCAGTCCGGGGGCAGCCAGGCCGGCCAACACGGCGCCGACGAGGAGGATGTTCCACATGTCGCGCTGCAACAGAGAGAGATCGATTCGTGAGCGATTTTTGCAGCAAACTCGGCACACTCGGGGGCCTTGTTGGTGCTGCTGGGTGCCGGGCCGACGAAACCACCTGGCCGCCAGGTCTGCTCTCAAGCCTCCAGGAGCGGGCGGGAGCGGCCAGGGCACCCCACCGCGAGTGCCGGTCGGGCTGACGGTGCCGGCTCCCCGCCCACGCCCGTCCGGTGCCGCGCTGCCCCACCGGGCCCGTCCAGCACGGTGACACACGCCGCCAATAACGGAGGGCGCCCTAGTGCCTCTCGCGCTTGGCCTAGATAAAACAACCTTTTTTTGGTAAAAAGTGGGCCTTAAAAAAAAGTGTATACACCCTTGTTAAACTTCAAAGTGCCTTTTCACGTATATATTTTTTCAAATGGGATGAAAAATGCCTAGAAAGGATTACGATATTTCTGTTTGGGCAACAGCGGTGCGTTTCAAGTTTTCTAGTCGGTTGTAGCGGTGTAGCCCTCTGCTTCTGGTCTCGGCCGGAGCCAAAGTGCCGGTCGTCGCGCAAGTCGAGCAAAACTTTAACTTTTCCCGCGGCCTGTGGCGCTGTATCACTTTGATCGGCCATGGGCAAGGCGAGGGTGGCGAAACTAGCGGCGAGGGCGACTGCTGATCATCCCTGGGAATAATCCGATCCGGCTTACTGTGAATAATGGAGTGATCGAAATGCCCGCAAAATGGCGGCCGTTTCAATTCGAAGCCTCCGTCTCTCTCGCACGCATGAGAGCTGCCTTTCTTCTAAAAGAGACGAGAGATGAAGCTTTCCCGTTTGCGCCGGCACCAAGCATCACGTCAATCTTCAATGTTATTTTCGCAATAATGGCAGGGCTGACTACAATGGGTGTATGAGTTTTTCCATCCTCCGAGGCGCGTGTGTGCGCAGGGTGGTGTAGGGGTAAGGCGGGCAGTGTCTACTTGGCCACCCCACGTCATGGGGTTCATGACCCGGCCCCCAGGGCTGCCCAGGGCTGCCCAGGGCTGCCACCCTCGCCGCGTTGCGTTCTTTCTCGGCGACGTGCTTTGACAGGCCGCCGACTCGGGCGATCCGCCGCCCGATTCCGAGATGCCGAGTCCACACAGAAGCACAAGGCGCAAACATCGCCGGCGGCGCGGCCCGCGGACGCCGAGTCGTACAGTCGTACCAACGGGATTTAGTCGTGGGCGTTCATACAGTGTCTCGCCGCGTGGGCGGAGGAAGGGTTGGCCGGCCTGCGCAGGGCGATTCCTCGAACCGCGGAGCGCTGTCTCTCTCGCACCTCTACGGGGCGCCCCCTTGGTGCGAGAGAGACAGAGCGTCGCAGTCAGCCCGCCGTAGCGCCCGCGAAGCGCCGGGTAGGCAACCCGGCGGCCACGGCCGCGCGACGGGCGGGCCGCCCTGCTCTGCGCAGGCGCTCCACGGCCGCGCTCGCCCCGCGAACCGTGTCGGGGCCGCGGGTTCAAATACCCGCGCCACTCAATTTTCCCCGGTTTTAATTCAGCCCTTCTCAGACTGACATTTTGACGGCGGTGCCCTGCGGGGGCGTGGCGGGGCGCGTCCGATCCGCCCCCGCGACCGCACGAGGACGAGCCGGGGGGCCCCGGCCGGGGCAGCCCGCCGCCCCACCAGGACCCCCTCGGCGGGCACGTCCTGCCCCACTTCCTCCCGAGCACGCGGCCATCCGGCGCATCTTTTTATCTCTTTCCTGCCACGGCCAGAATCGAAAGCCCTTTCTTCCAGTGAAAGGGAGAGAGGCATTACATAAAAAAAGGGCGACAAAGGGCTGATGTGCTCGTCATGTCCAGGTGGCTGCGGTGGAACAGATGCCTTTTGTCAAACAGGGCGGCGGGACGGCCGGGCGGCAGGGCGGCAGCCCACAAAGGGCCAGCCCGTCTCGCCCTTAAAGGGCCGTGGTTGTAACGGGCGGACAACTAGCCAAAACAAACACTTTTCGCCCAGGCCGACCGGCAGGCCGTCTGGCTGGCCGCTTTCCGCGCTCGTAATGAATCAGTGGCGACTGCAGCACCCAGACCAATTCGTCAATCGAAAACATCTTTGAAACAAAGTAATGAAAAGTGCTGGAGGTTTCTTGGACCCTGGCTGCTACTACTGCTGCCCGCCCGGCGGTGATCCCTACACCGCGAGTCGCGAGGCCAAAAGCACCGCGTCCACCGCGGCCCGGCTTAGCCCGGCCACGCCGCCGTTTGCCGGCAAATAGAGGGATCCAATTGTATTTAGCATAACAGCGATGCGGCGTTTTCGTTCTGGCCGCGGCGCTAAGCCGAGGTGCGCACCAAGCCAGGAGCACCGCGTTGGAGTACACGGAGCTCCTTGAAATTCCAGACCGCCGAGCAGTCCGAGAGCGAAGAGTCAGTCTGAATTTTCAGTTAGCAACCGCGTATTTACTTCCGCCAAAACGGCCTGAATGTTTGGAGCAAATATTTTTAACAGTGACCTAGTCTGAGCGCGACGACGCGCCACGACTTCCAACCCACATCAGGCCCGCCTAGGAATTTCGGGACCGACACATTGTAAGCCCTGTGCAATACGAAAATCGAGAGTCCGGTTACACACTGGGGAATTCCTCGAAAAAAAAAAATCTTACCTTCCGCCTTACGCCGCCGAAAAATAGGGTGTAGTCATTCTCGTGTTACATTTCCCGCGGATTGGATTAGTGCGGGCCGCGCACATTCAGCCTCGAATTATCGTTCAAGAATCTCGTGTTGACTTCGACCTTTCTCTCTCTCTCTCTCTCTCTCTCTCTCTCTCTCTCTCTCTCTCTCTCTCTCTCTCTCTGCCCCCTCCCCAGTGCGGTGACTGCTGACCCCGTTCCGACCGATGGGAGATGTCCCGGAAGTGGAGAGCGGCGCCCGAGAGTCCGAAACGCGTTTCCGGTTCCGGCGCGAAGAGTCTATCGATTTTGACGACGTCGGCGACGCGGCCGGGCCGCCGGGAGGTGCAACTGTGTCGCGCGATTTGGGGAGCCGTCATTGAGTTACACGCTGCGGGGGAGGGAGAGAGAGAGAGAGGCGTGATCACTGGGAGGAGGGTTGAAAATGGGAGAGCGAGGGGGGTGGGGGAGAATGCCCGGGGGACTTGGGAGTGGGTCTTTGAGCAGTAATATGATTTGGACTGCTCACACTCCGCCAGGACTCCGGCAGGACGCCCCCTTTCTAACGCTGCGATTCCGACGGGCACAGTCGGAGCGCGTCACGCCCACTGCAAATCCACTCAAAAGAAAAATAGAAAAAGAAATTCTGTGCTTTCGGTTTATGAAAACTGAAAAGTTACCTGCGCGAAACCCGCCTTTTCAACGTTAAGTATACGATGAAGGCTTGAGAGCGCGTCAGAAAGTGCCAGAAAAATAGCAATGATGTGACAGGCAGGCAGGCGCGGAGTAGAGCTCGCCTTCCTAATTGCACCCTTTTAGCCGCTGCTCTCGAGATAAATGCATTGCGATCGTCGCGGGTGCGTCGGAAGCGAAAGAGAGACAGAGAGAGAGAAAGAGAGAGAGAGGGGGCGCCGGATTGGCCGAGCAACAGGCAACAGGCTCCCCTCGCCGCCCCGGCCGTCCCGGGGGCCTCGGCCTCTGGGGGAGGGGGGAGGGGGCAACAAGTGGCGGAAAGCCGACGGGACGGACCGGGCCGGCCGGGGGTCAGCTAGGTAATCGAGCCAGTGGCGTGGCGCGCCGTGCCGGCCTGCCAGCCTGCCGGGGACTCACCGTAAATCACGAAGCCAACTTTTTGAGCCCCGTTTTACGGCGCCCCCTTAAATCCAGAGAGACTCTGCTTATGAGCGCGCGCTGCGCTCACTACCACTATCTCTGCCGCTGCTTGCTCGCTGCCGCTTGCTGGCCCTGGGGTCAAGGGACTCCGGAACGACCGAGAGCACACTTAACGGCATGCATGACTCCCTCTCTCTCCCTCCCTCTCCCTGTCTCTCTCGTAACGATGCGCGTGTCCAATTATGGACACACACACGCACGCACACACACGGTGTTCATTGCGGCACTGGAAACAGGAAAACGCGGTCGGGAAAAGTTGTCGCTGGGGCGGTCGGCCGGCTGATATGGATTTCGCGTCAATTTGCAGCGACAAAGCGAAAAGCGGCACGGCTCGGGTTGCGATGTTGTTGTGGCGCGCGCTGTGCCACGCCACTGCCACGCTCCCCTGGCTAATACCGGTCCACAATCTCGCATTCACAGTCACACCAACGCGCCCTCCCACACTGATGCACACTCACACACACACACACACACACAGTGAGCTCGCACATGGAAGCGGAAAGCAATTGTAGCCGAGATGGGCCTCCTGGGGTCAAAACAAAGACTGGAGTCCTATTCCCCCGCCTCCCCAAAACAGCTTTTCTTAATTAAATAATTAATTAAGGTCTCACATGTCATGGCGCGCGCGCGCGGGAGTATGGAAGTAAAATTTTCATAGGGTATTTTTCTTTTTTATAAAATTGCAGTTTAGTTATAAAGTTTTCGCGGAGCCCCCAAAGTTCGTAATTAAAACCGCAGACGTTAAAAAAAAAGACGGAGCGTTTTTCATGATTACTGAAGGTCATTGTCGGCTGGAGCTGGGCTTGACTCGGTCCCGCAGGACTGTCCCTTCCCCCACCCTTCCACCGCCCCCCTAGTTGGCAAGTGGCGCGTTCGGTTTCGCCAGGACCGCTCGAGAGATCGAACCCGATACGCGCCCAATTTGACCGTTTTCATTCTTTGTTTTCGCCGCCGTCTCTGCGTGTCGACGTGTACCAGTGTACTCGTGCTTTCCCCGCCGTGTGATGTTCCCCGTGCCAATCAATACACGTGGACGTCATGAACTCGCAGCGCATCGCAGCGCGTCGCAACGCGGCAGGCAGGCCTGCCCCCGCCCGCCACCGCCCGCCTCCGCCCGCCCCCGCCCGCCTCCGCCCCCGCCAACAGCGCTCGCTCGACTCTCCAACTCCGGACTCCCTCTAGTGGGGTCGACTGCAGCTAAGCTTCGGCTTACGGTTCAGCAGACTGGATCCGGGAGTCTTTTTTCGTCCCCTGTCTCTCTCGCACCTACACGCGCCGGCCGCACGAGTGCGAGGGAGACAGAGCGACTGCCGGGGCGGAGAGACCAAGAGTTCCCGGAAATTAGCCTCGCGCTCGGCCGCTGCATCGGGCTGCTTTCTCGGAGTGCGACTCCAGCACTCCAGCACTCCAGGACGCTTTCCGGGAACTGGCGCGCCAAGTTTTCCGCCCCCGCGCAGCCAGGCAATGGATTTCCCCCACTGCCGGGGGATTCCCTGAGCCCTTGGAAAAATCAATCTACCTGGACTGAAGTTAGGTTGATCTCCTTACGATCACATTTATTTACAGTTCGACGTAACTCAACATTTCTGGCTTAATATCGTTTTTCAGAGTGAGCTCCTGATTTTTCTCTTGTTTAATCCTTCCAGCCTGCAGCCGTTTTTGTCCCGCAGGCTGATTCCATGCAGGGGCTTCGTCGCTCTGTCTCTCTCGCTCCCCTGCGGCGTTCCGAAGGGGTGCGAGAGAGACAGAGGCTGCCGCCTCGCCCACCCCCGTCACCTTTCCTCCCCCTCTGCCTTTTTGTCCGGTCCAGCCGGGCTAAATACGTCACTCCACGTGCAGCTTTGTCCGTCTTTGTCCGTCCGTCCTCGTCTGTCGGTCGCGTGCGTCGGGCGCGCGTGCGTCGCGTGACCGGGACGCGTGCCGAGTGCCGCACAAAGCCCATTCACAGTGTCGGCAGCTATCAACTAGGACGCCCTTCGCCGAATAAAAACAAAGAGACATCACTCACAAGCTCATTCCCGAATTTCTATATATTTGGCCCATTTGACTATATTTTAGATTTCCTAACAATACAGCAACTATAATCATGAAGCAGTGCTATATCGGACTTTTAATTTCGCCAAATATTACGAAATATTGCCGAATCAGTCCATTTTAGTGAGAAAGGTCAATTCACTGGTGTACAAGGGCGCACGAAGCTCTGAGGGCCTTGCAGCCGTTTGCTGGCGACTAACTCTCTGTTTGGGTTCAACTGGCGGACGATGACGTCACATTGCACGATGCAACGGCAGTCTCTGCGTCCGGAGTCGCGTCCTCTCGTTCAAGTAAATTTGGCGTCGGAAGAAAAGCGACTGGTTTCAAGTCAGGTTATAAGATCGACGCGTGTTGAAAGCTTGAACCTTTTCTCTAAATTTATACTCTCTTTCGGATTTATTAAAAATAAAATTCAGGCCAACGTGGTGCTGTACTTTGGTCCTAAATTTTGATCGGATTTCTCACATATTTCGTCGTTACCCTCAAATTCACCACTGCAGAGTCCTCAAAAAATTTGTGTTTTGACTTATATAAAAATTTTGCTACGAAAGGTGTTTTTTTGAATCAAACACAAACTTTGGAAGAAAATTTTGGCAAGAAAGCGTTTTTTGCTCGGGGTTTTGGGTGTGGCTCTCCTCTTGCCGGCTTCCGACTATCCTTTCGGTCCAGCCTAAGCTTCTCCAGCCGGACTCAACGGCCTCGGCTCGTGTCGCGCCCTCCGCCGCCCGCACTTCTCGCTCTGTCCCTCTCGCACCCCTACGGCACACCCCATCAGTGCGAGAGAGACAGAGCGGCGAGCGCGGGCGGCGGAATGGCCCGACTGCACTGCACTGCAAGCCCAGCACCTACCTCGTCTAGTGAGTGCAGCGAGTCCCCAGCACGGCGGTCTAGTCCTAGTCCTGGTTCTAGCCCTGCGGGGCGCGCACCACTCGGCGACGCGCGCGCTGTGGAGGAGCAGGGCCTAGAGGGCCTGGGGGGCCTCGGTCAGCAACGCGACGCGGCGCACAGCTCCGGCGGATTCGCGAGAGTAACCGGCGGCCGGCCGACCCCCGCCCCTTTATACGGGGCGCCACGCCAGCGCCGCGCTAGCGCCGCCACTGCAGGCCGCTGGAGGGGAGGGGAGGGGGCACTTCCACCCCACCCGGGGCGCGGAGAGGGGAGGGGCGGGAGGGGAGGGGAGGCAGTGTGCGTGAGGTGATGGTGGTTTACTACTGTAAATGAAACCATCATTGTAAGGCCTCAGGATCGAAAAAAACAATATTCTCAGGAAATGCCGGGAGTCGATCACCTGACCTTACTGATGGGACCTGACGGCTGATAGAGGTCACTGTTGCTCATCAGCTATTTTGACCGCGCTTTTTAGTTTCAACGTAGTTTGAAATAACTGGTCGAGGGTGGCTCAAAGAGTCACCTGCATGAGAGTGTATTCTCTTCGCTCTGTACCTTTCTTACGAAACTTGCCCCGACAAGTTGCGCCGTGTCCGTATGTTCTTCCCCTCCCCTCCCCTCCGCCCCCGCGAAGCGCGCCTCCCTGCTGAAAGGTATACATCGTCGAGATGTGCCGCCGCGTCGCGCCCGCCTAGCAGCGCCCCGCCGTCGGCAGCACTGGAAATCCTTTCTTCTTCTATTCATTGATTCTCTTTCTCTTTCTCGCGCCCCGCGCTCCCCCACACCCCCCTTCCCTGTCAGACACTTGTTTGCACCCGCCGACCCTCCGCCGCGACAGCACAGGCATTCCGGGATAACGCACACAGACGCGCACGAACACACACACACAGACGCACACCTACACACCAACACACACACACACACACTAGAAGACAGAGAGCAGGGAAGCGAGAAAAGAGGAAGCAGCCTTCGGAATTCATACGAATGACTGGCTTGTGTTTCTATGCGGTGCACGCCGGGGGTGAGAAGGAATAACCACTTTTTGTTGTGCTTTTTTTGTGTTGCTGTATTGTTGTTGTTGTTGTTGTCGAGGCAGGCGGTTCCGAAGCTGGAGACGCTCCCGTAGGCGTGGCTGTGCGTTATGGCCAGTAGGCGAGACGCGTGGCCGAGCGCCTCCCGCAGCATTGCACTACTTTCTGTTTAGCCGTTGCCGTGCGTGGACGCGCACGCGTACCGACTGCAGTAGTTGGTCGGACTGAAGTAAAACCCGGAACAAATTCCGAGGTAATCCGAGAAGCCATAATATGACACTGAGGGAAATTTTCATCAACTTTTTTTTTCTCTCTCCTTTCGGTCGAGCTTACATTATAAAAGATATGAAAACAAAGTGAACTCTTACGACGCGCCGGAGCCGCGCGAAAATGACGCAGCCTCTTTCTCGGAAAAGGAGTAGTAATGGCGGTCTTTATGAAAAAGGCACGTGGGTGAGCGGGGCCGGGAACAAAGCGTGTTACTTCACTCTCCGGGACGTTGCGGCGACGAAGGGCCGCGGCGATTGCTTGAAGCGATAGGCCGGGAGGCGGGGACCCTTTTTCGAAGATCAATGCACACACACACACGCACGCACGCAAACTCACGCACGTGTGCACCTCCGCCCCAACCCTTTGCCCCATTGGGGTAGGCAAACAAGGTCTTTCCAAAGTTGCTGGGGCGTTGCAACTTGTTGCGTCGTTTCACTGCGTTCGCTGCCCCGGGACGGCGGCAGTGCCTCCCGGAGACCGGAAACGCTCCAGGGGTAACGTTCACTTCCGGTGGGGAGGGGGGGGGCGTCTGCAAAGGCTGCGGCAGGCAACTTTTTCCTTCGCAGAATAACAGGAAAATCCTTTGCTGGAGCCGAGCGCGCGCCCAAGGTGGACGTCATATTGTGCGAGAAATTTATGAATGTCACTTGTGACCCTCCCCTCCCCCTCCCCGCCGCCTTTCGGAGGGCGGTGCAAAGGCCATGAAACTGCCGTGTGGCTTTGACCTGTAGCTTGGAGGACCCCGTCGCGTCCACGGCGTCCACCCCCAACGCCCGAGGGGCGAATGGGAAAGCGGGAGGCTCCACTTGCTGTTCGAGGCAGCAGGCCGACGGAGTGTCTTCCTGTGAAATTCAGAATTCTCGGCGCCCGGGGCGCTTGTTCCCTACTAGTAAAGTTTTTTTTTTGTCAGGTTTGCTTTCCTGGCGGCGCGCGAGGCGATTTGTTCCCACGCTTTGCTGCCGCCAAGTTGGCAGCACTGGCGCACAGCTTGAGTCAACCGCACGGCCAGCAACGATCGCGGCTTTGTGTTCAGGGAAAACGGTTAATATTGGAGAGGGGCTAGTTTATGGCCCCCCTCCCCACTCCGAAAGGGTTAGAGTCGCGCCGCGCCGCACGCCCACAGCCGTTCGACTCCAGTCGACAAGCAGATTGACGTTTTCGGACAAAGCCTCGTCAAAAACCCGAATGAACTATGAGTAAACTTCGCGCAGCGTCCACTGAGTTGGATTCTCGTATGATCCCGACCACCTTTGGCTGCTTCTGGTTCCTGGCAGCTCCAGGTTCCAGAGGCCCGCCGGCGTGACGCAGCCACGCAGCCCTTAGTTGGCGCTCGTAGGCCCGGCCAGCAAGCCAGCCGGCAGGGCGCCGTGCTAAGTTGTGTTTGCTCGTCGTAACTTGTCGAACACACATGTTGACAATACGGCGGGGCCGCGCGGGTGCGTCGCCCAGCGCCGTGCCCATGGCCATGCCGCGCCGGCGGCCCACGCGCAGACTCTCTCTGTCTCTCTCGCACTCGCGGGCCGCGCCGCCAGTGTGCGAGAGAGACGGAGCGACGAAGCACATGAAGCCCTTCCCTGTTGGTTGATGTGGTTGGTGACGGCCTGGCCGGTGGCGCCTTGTCTAATCACGGCGTGGAACTGTTTGTTGTTCTGCTGCAGCCATATGTGCGGCACCGGCCCGCCTTACTGGCGGGGCAGCAAACTACTCGGCCGGAGCGAATATAATGGCTACGTCAAAGGGCAGCCCTGCGCCGCGCCGCCCCGCCCCGCCATGGCCGCTACCTCAAAGTAAGGCATGCAGGACTGCCCCAGTTTCCAATTCGTGCCCTTTAGCGTGCAGCCCCCGCCCCTCCCCCGCGCAGGTTCAACTCCATAAAGTGACTGATGACCGCCCTCCTCAGGTCTTGCAATATCGCGCGCTGCTGCAGCTCCGCCACTCTCCTCTCCTCCTCCGACTAGCGCAGCATCCAGGACGCCGGTAGTGCCCGGCCTGGTGACCCGGAAAGGGGTCACCCAGGTCGGGCGGGCCGCACAGTGGACCAGGAGACCGGTGGAGGCGGCCAAAATTCTAGACGCGTTTTGAGCTCCAGAGTCGCTAAACAGGACTCAAATCAAACGTGTGACCCCACTAAAGGATTCCTTGTTCGGAGAGCAATCCATTGGTGGGGTCACACGTTCGGTTCGAGTCTCATGTGGCGACTCTGTAGCTCGTAACGTGTCCGGGATTCTGGCCGCCTCCACCGGTCTTCTGGCCCACTGTGGGCCGGCCGGCGTGCTGCCTCGCCCACTTGTGGTGCTGCTCGGTGTGAAATCCCGCTGGCTTTGCGCTGCTTCGCACCTCGCTTGTTTATTTCCCGCCCCGTGGGGCCCTGCTGTGCTCGGCGCTGCGCCCCGGGCCGCGCCCTGGGGCCCGCAGGACGCGGAGTACGCCCTCGGCGAGGTGGACAGGACAGCCCCCGGGGCCGGCCGCCACGCCGTGCCCTGCGCCTGGAGACCGCTGCCTTCCCCGTACTGTCGACGGTGACCTATTAAACCCACAGTAGTGATGAATGGCATGGCGCCGCGTCCCCCGGACACGTTCGTCGATCGCCGTCCCCACGGCAGCGCCACTGCTAATGAAATTGTCCAGGGAGTCCCATCAGCAAGATTGAAAATCCTTCGTCGAGCGTTTGTTTCCAAAAGTACTCTTTATTCACAACAGTTCGGTGTTGACTCGCGGCGCGGGGGTGTACAGCAAGGGGGTGCGGTTTAATAACTTGCCGCGCCCGTTTAGCCGCTCGGCTCGGACGCGGTTCGATCCTCGGCGGGGGCGGCGGCGGGGGCGGCAGCGGGGGCGGCGTCCTGCGCCACCATCTCCCTGACGATGGACTCCGCCAGGGCGTAGAGCTCGTCCACCGTCTGCAAAGACACAGCAACACACAGTTACAACAAGTTGCGCGATGAGACGGGAGTCTCGAGGGGAGTTGTAATGTAAGGGCGGCCCCCCTAACGACTTGTGTCACGGACCCCACAGTGGGCCAGCAGGGCCCTCCAGTGCACTACCTCCAGCTCCCACATCTTCTTGACGCTCTCTGCCTCGAACTTGATGCGATCGAAGTCCTCCTGCGTGAACATGTAGCCGCGCTCGATGTCGGCCTGGCGGTCCAGGTCCTCGTCGGCGTCGCACGCCGACATGCCCGACAGCGTCTCCACGTCGTCCTCGGCGTCCTCGACGTGCACCACCACGCCGGCGGCGTCCGTGTCCTGGAGGTCCTGCGGCGAGAGCGGGCGGTGAGGCCAGGGTCACTATACCAGTGCGGTGGCGTGAGGGAGTGCCGAGGCTCACCGTGGCGGGCTCCTCCTTGACGGAGACAGTCTTGTTGGACTGCGCGGAGGGCGCGGCCGAGGGCGCCGCTTCCTCCACCACGGGCTCGGCCTGCTCGGCCTGCTCGCCTTGCGGGGCCTCCTCGGCGTCGGCCACCTCCACGGCCTCCTCGGGCTTGGCGGCGTCCGCGGCGTCCGCGGCGGCCTTGGAGCCTCTTGGGGACTCGTCCCTCGGAGAGGCGTCCCTCGGCGTGCTGGTCCTCGGGGTGCCCGTCCTGGACGACACGTTGGTGGAGCTGGGCCGGCTGGCCGCGGCCGCCAGCGTGGTCGGGGTGGCGAGCGAGCGGTCGGCGCCCTCCTCCAGGCAGCTGCGCGACAGCGACAGCGCGGCCCTCGACGACGTGCTCCGCGACACATTGGAGGCCATCTGTCGGCAGCGCGGGGGGGTCACTTACAGTGGGCGCCCGTCTGCTTGGCAACGCCTGCAGGTCCGGTTCGGGAAGGTGGGGAGCGACCGGGAGACCCGGCACACTTACTTCGCACAGTCGCTCGGGCTGGATGTGGGTCCTGGGCGCGGCCAGGAACCCTGGAATCTTTCAAGGGGCGGGGTGAGGGCGCGGGCGGCTGCAGGTCCCGACCCCCTTTCCATTTTACCGCGTTTTACTGCCCTGTTTCACCGCGCGAAATTGCGCGCCAAAACAATAACAGTTATCTGGACTAATGCGTGGTGACGTCACCGGCTGACGCCCCCTCCCCGGGCCGGCCGCTGGGCAGGCGCGTCCCCCCGCCCCGCCTCCCCCGGGGCTCGTATAAAAGGCCATAACGCTTTCAAAGATGCCCGCAGCGGGCAGGACGGATAGTGTACCGTGGCCCGCGGGGCCCGTGCCCGTGGCAGCACCGCTCGAGGTAACCGATCCCCAACCGCCCCAAATTCGATGTCCCTTGGAAGGTATGTTTATGTGGCTGTCCTCCAGCGGGTCAACAAAGTCCCACCAGGCTCTGAGGCTCTGCCGCGGCGGAATCGGTGTAGGTCCGCGTGCCGCCGTCCCTTCCCAGTGTGCCGCACTCCGTTTCAGTTTTCCAGTGTCGCTACCGACCGAGGAGGTGGATCAGTTGGAAAGTTCAATTTCCCCGCCGCTTGGGCCGCTCTGCCGCTTTGTGTATCGCAGATGAGCAAAGTTGCGCCGGTAATGCGAGTGAGAGAGAGGGACACTCTCGGCGCCGCGCTGGCGCCATCAAGGTCCCCTTTCAGCAAAAACAAAAATGCAAAAAACATATTTATTTCCGACTGCTCAGTTACCTTGCCTCCGAGGAGAATTTGCTTAATGAACTGTGAGATCTGGAAGACGGGGTGGTCCACGAGCTCTCGCGGCGCCTCGTCCAGAGACATGCGGCCGTCCAGGATGAGCTTCTTCTCGCGCTCCAGCTCGTCCACCTGGACAGGCAACAAAACGGGCGCCACTAACAGCACAGTCCCAAAATCGCCTAAAATAAACCTTTTTTTTACAAAGAAAGTTAATTTTTTTTACAAAGAGTTTAATTTTTTTTCAAAGAGTTTAATTTTTTTTTACAAAGAGTTTAATTTTTTTTACAAAGAGTTTAATTTTTTTACAAAGAGTTTAATTTTTTTTACAAAGTGTTTAATTTTTGTATCCGGCCACCGAACCAATCCCCCACTGCGTGCCCAAAGGCCCGAATGTCAGCGTCAACAGGCTGTCGGAGGGCTCGGCCATGGCTCGGCCCGGCAAACAAAGCCAATGCAGCCAATGCGTTATCGCACCGAGCCACGCGGGCCATTTCTCGGTACCGGCCGATGATGATGCCGCCGGGCCCGGCGGCTTGTCGGCCCTGATTTACAGTGGTGTGTGATTGCGCCCACGCCAGGCACCAGCCAGGGGGCGATTGTGATTGATTCGTCAGATTACCACGTGATGAGTGACTTCCGTCGGTTCGAATACCGGCCGCTGCCAGGGATTTTTTTAAAGCGTCACTTTTACAGCGGTCACTCACCCTAAGAGTGATTTATTTTCATAAAATGACAAGTTGTTGTTGTTTTTCAACAGTAGTATATGGAGTTTGAGAATTTGAAAACCACGCTTGAAAACTTAAAAAAAAATACACAAAAATTTTCGAAATCATGCAGAATTTTTTTAAGACTACACTTAAGTCTTCAAATTACGTTACACGAAAAAGTGTCAAAAATTATGCAAAAAAAAAATTCTTCAATTTCAAAATTTGAAATTTTTGAAATTTTGGAAATTCTGAAAACTTGAACATGAACGGCGTACCTCCCTGGCGCGGATCCGCTCCCGGACGCTGCGGATGTGGTCCTCCCGGATGCGTCGCTGCAGCTCCAGCATGTACTTCCGGTCCGTGATGCGCACCACGTTGGTGCCCATGAGCCGCTCCAGCCGGGACATGACATGGGGGTGGCTGAAACTGAGAGAAAAGGCACACCGGTATAATTCCTCCGCGCTGCGTGGTTTAGTGTTGCCGTCTCTCTCGCGGCCTGACGGCGCGCCCCGTGAGTGCGAGAGAGACAGGGAGAGACGGAGAGAGACGCTCCTTCGGCGCGTCATACCGCGTGCGGGGCGACAGTCCCGCGATGCGACCGCGCCGCGCTAATGACACGATTCGCTCGCAATCAGGGTGTTTGCTCGCAGCGGGGCGGGGCGGGGGGGGCGGGGCGGGGCGGGGCGGGGCGGGGCGGGGCGGGGCGGGGCGGCGGTAGTATACGCTCGTCACGGCGGGGGCGGCGCAGCGGGGGCCGCTTCTGGGTATCGTGGGATCGGCAGTGCGTCAAAGCGCTTCCTGCAGCGTGGCGATGAAGCCGACCGGGGTCAATTTACGGCACGCACACTGCAAAACTTGTCTTCAAAAATAATTTATAACAAATAGAGAAGATGAGGAGTCGAAGAATGGTTGAACGTGGGTCACTGCGGTCGAAGGTTAGGAGGTGAGGCGTCGGCCACCGATCAGCAGAGTCGGCTGTTGAAGGGTGGGCTTTTCCAGGAACGAAGCCGTTCCGAAATCCGGAGCGTCACCCGCTAGGTCGAGTGCGTGCACGGGGTGGCGTGCGCAGAGCGTCGCGGCCGCCGCACGACGGCCACCTCGCGTGTCCCGGGGATGTTCCTGGAGAGACTGGGGGACGCCCCCCCCCCCCCCCCCCCCCCCACCCCCCACGCACCCCGGGCCTCGAGCGCGGCGCCTAGCGACGTGTCGGTCGTCGTGTCACCAGCCGCCCGCTCCGTTTTAAACGGTTTTTATTTGAGGACACGCACCAAACTCGGCCGCGTGACAACTTGCATCCCTCGCTGCCGAAACTTTTCCAGCCCGATGTGATAGATGGACGGTCCCTCCGAGCGAAACGCGAGCCGAGACCGCGCTGCCGACTTTAGGACGCGCGCCGGCACCCCACTGCAAAGTGATAAATCCATTGCAGTGGTGACGCGCGCTTCCTCGGTGCAGCCTTGTCTGCCTAAATTGCAGCAAATTGCATCGTGCCGACGAGGGTGAGAGAGCAGCAGACGGGTTCCGAGAGTCGTCGCGTTGTCTCTCTCGCGCCTACAAGGGACGCCTCATGAGTGCGAGAGAGACAGAGGATCTCTCGGAATCCGTCCGCCGGCAGCTGCAGACAGCGCGGCAGCTGTCCCGCCTGACAGCAGGACGAATTTATGGCCGCCTTCATGACGGAATGGCTGGGCCGGGCTGGGCTGGCCAATTATTGCCTGTTTTTTGTTCCGGCAGTCGTAGCTTTCATTTAACGACAGCCCCCTCGTTTCATTCCGTGCCGTTCGTCGGTGGAAAAAAGTCTCTTCCGGGGGTAAAGGGCCGTTTCGTAGTCCGAAAGGACGTTTCAAATCGGGACCGCTGACTGCGTCGTCCTCGTCTGGAAGAGCTCAGACCGTCCGCACGGGGCCACCCTGGCCAGCTTGGCCCACTCCAGCGCGGCCATTCACAGGGTCCAGTCACGTTGGCCTAGCCTGCCTGTTGGGTAAGTGGGCCTGTGGACTGTACACTGTACACCCGGCCCCCTCGCCTCAGCGCCCGGCCCGCCATGTGACACGGCCGCAGATACCATCACACTAGACTACAAGACGGTTACGCCCGCCGACCTCGGAGAGCCTCGGCATGCGGCAAGGGAAGCCGACGACGACAGGGCGACACAGATCGAAAGGGGAGGACAGTTCGAACGCGTGGGTGCGCAGTCATTCAAATTAAAGTCACGTTATTAAGAAAAATCAATCTCTTTTAAATGCGGATTCACTATGCAGCTCTGCTATCGCCAGCTCGAGCAAGAATGTTTGCTCCCACCTTCGCTTTCTCTACAAGACAGCAAGTAACAACACACACTCACACGCACACAAAAAAACACACACATGCGCACACACCAAGAAGATTATCTCACCCCGTATTCTTCAGCGTCTCGCGAGCGCACATCATCCCTGAGGGTCAGTACGTCTCTGTCTGACGTGCCGCACACACACGCACACACACACACACACACCCACACATACACACACACACACACACACACACACACACACACACACACGGGGCCTAATCTCACCCGTCGCCCTCGGCGCTGACGGCGGCGTGCCGGCCGCGCGCACGCCCGTGGCTCCCCCTGGGCCCCTTCGGGCCGCGGCCTCCTTGACGGCTTCCTGCGCGCGTCGGCGGGCACCCCCTGGCGGCGACATGCCGCCGAGGATCACGGCGATGAGGGCCCCGGGGGCCGGCGGCCCCGGCGCCAGCCTTGGCGCCCGCCATGCCAGCCGAGACTGACACGTTATTTTGCAGGGGAAAACCGTGCCGCCTGCTGCTCAGAAACCGTCCCCGCCCCCGCCGCCCCCGCCCCCTCGGCCCGCGTCCGCCCCCCAACAACCTGCTGCTGCGGCGCGGCGTGGCGGCGTGCACCCCGACCAAGGTCAACGATGTACTCGAGGCTTAAGAACCCTCGTGTGCAGGTCGTGCAGGTCACCGGGGTGAAACACCTCTCCGCTTCGGAGTCGTCAATCTTCTGCGGAGGCCGCGGTCGCCCATATTGGACCGCTTAAAGCGACTTTACGATTTAAGTTTTATTTTGATGAGCCTGCAGCTCGGAGCGCCTGTGAAACGGAGGATAGGCAGACCCGTCCACAGGCACGTTCCACGGGTTGCCTACCCAGCGAATCACAGGCGTTCCATGCAGGCAGCAGCCAGCCCCTTGAACCGCCGCCGCAGTTCTGTCCAGGGCCTGCTCCCCCCTCCCCCACCCTTCTTCGCCGTCGTCTCGCTCCACCGTTGTCACGCACCTCATCAGCTTCCTGGAATACCCCCTCCCTCCCTCCCTCTTTTGTGTGTGTGTGTGTGTGTGTGTGTGTTGTCTGCGTCGGTCCTTATTACCCTTGTTGTTTCGACCCCCTCCTCCGCCTGCCCCTCCCCTCCCCTCGCAAGCATGGCAGCACATTCTTTTCACGACCCCCCGCCACCCTTCGCCTTGTACTATCCCCCGACCGCCCTGCAATCCCCTCTGCCCACGTTTTCCTACCCCCTCCCCTCCCCCCCTTCCCCCTCCCTTCCCCGAGACTATTCTTCCCAGCGCATTGGCTGGCCGAGTATTCAAACTCAACCCGCACACGCGTTCCAATAAACGTTCGGTTCTGATTCGCGGGCAGGCGTTCGCTCAAGCGATGAGCAGAAAGCAGAAAATTCTCGCAGCGCGGGACGCTTGATTTTTAACTTCCTTTTTTATTCTAGCGGCTACGCAGTACGTACCACCCGGTGCGCAGCCCGCCCACATACTCGAATCGCCCCACCCCCACCCCCACCCCGCGCCACGCGCCGACACGTCGATTCAGCTGAAAGTTGGTGTAAACAAATCGCGTTTCGCGTTCTCTCTCTCTCTCTCTCTCTCTCTCTCTCTCTCTCTCTCTCTCTCTCTCTCTCTCTCTCTCTCTCTCTCTCTCTCTCTCTCTCTCTCTCTCACCTTTATGGAAACGCCGGAAGGCGGTGGTAAAGAGAGAGAGAGATGCGGCGACGACGGCCGTGCTGTTGGTGCGCGTGTCAAAGATTTGCGCGACTGCACGGCGCGAGGCACGGCGCGAGGCGTGGAGGGTGAACGACGTCATTTGCCTGTTTAGTGGGGCGTTACGTCGCGGCGTGACTGGCGAAGGCGGCGAAGGCGGCCCCTTTATACACCGCACCTATTAGTAATCTCTTCGACTTAGCGCGCTAATTCCCCCCCCCCCCCCCCCTTCATCGTCGCCTTCTTCGGCCGGCCGGGGGCTTTGAGCGCGGCGCGCGGCGTCAGCGCGTCTCGACGGTCTCACAGCGTTTCAATTACCTCCGGCAGGGCAAACTTTCCATCACCGAAAACAATTCAATGGCGGCGTGGCAAAGTGAGCGGACGCGCAAGCAGCCTCGGGCCGGCCCGGCCGCCGTGCCTTCATCAAGGAGTGCCACTGCGTCGCCTTGATCACCGCGACGTGTCTGCAGCAGCAGTCTCTCTCGCACGCCGATGCACAAAGCTGCGAGTGCGAGAGAGACAGACAGACCGATGATGCCGGTTCGTCATCACGCTGTGTAGGGTGATGGCGAGACCGTGGCGTGAAATGATGAAAAAGTGAGGCAGCGGCGTGAGGCTAAGCGGACATGCCGAGCCGAGCCGAGCCGAGCACCGAGCCGGGCGGCAGGCGGATTGGATCATGAAACACGCCGTGAAAGATTCGGGTCATGGCGAGTCGGGCGGGGTGGGGCGGGGCGTGGGTAGGCGCCTCGCAATGGCAGGTGTATGACAGGCTGACGTATCGTCGTATCGAGGCTCGGCCGGCTTAGTGTCCGGAAACACCCGAAGTCCCTCGGGAAAAGACGCGGAAGTTATGGAACCCGGAAGCAAAGAGAGTGGCGGTACGTTCGTTTCCGGGCGTTGGGTTGCTCTCTGTGTCTGCCTACGCTGTTTGTCGAGAGTTTGCTCCGTTCGCACGCCGAGCGAGCGGCACGGAGTCCGGTAGCGGAGCTTAAAAATAGCGCGCGCGTCAAAGTCAGATTCGGGTGCACACGATAACATGAACCACTTGAATTTCCAGGAACAACTTGGGGGCCGCGCACACCGCACCCACGGCTCGCATGGGAACCTGATTGGCCGCCTGTGGTTGCGCTGCACTGGCGGGGCGCTGGCGGGGCGCAGGCACCACACGGGGCGAGGCCGAGGGTGTGGTGAACCGAGGCGAACCGCCAGACAGCAGACAGGCTGACAGCTGACGGGGCGCCCCGACGGCCCCGACGCGCGCGTGCCGCGGTGACTTGGGGTGCCTACCCCGCGGGCGGTGTACCTGGCAAGGGTGAACCAGTCCTCCCAGCGCGTGAGGGTGGCCGCCGCATCGGCCTCGGACTCGGCGCTGCTGCTGGCCTCGGTGGACGACGAGGACCCGTTGTCGGCGTCGTCCTGCGGCGTGGCC